GTGCTCGAACGTATTCGTCTTCCTCTTGACCAACAACGCGCTACAACTTTGACTTCTCCGCGGTGTTTCTAAATATATCCCCTACCCTCGCCAGGGCGTGCTTGCCGGTGAGCGTCCCGGGCTAGTGGATCGAGGTATTCTGCTCCATTGCACGCGGCCGATGGATGCGCAACCCTGCGGGGAGAAGGTCAGGTAGTTTCTCGGGCACTACCGTCCGCAGGCGTGAAGTGCCGCTCATTGTTCGATCTGATCATACTGTCTCTCCGAATCAGCCTGACCCAGACACAATGTCCCAGATGGAGTGACGCCGGGCGGCTCAGTCAAGTAAGAAACGACGCTCAAAATCGAATACTCGTACAGACTTAGCACTTTTCAGGAACTTATTTCTGTGACCGGAGACCGTATTTGGGACCTGCAACAGAGTCTCCCGAATTTATTCGTCTAGGGAACGCTCCGGATGTCGATGTATTGTACTATGAAGAATTCCTAAGCTTGGTACCGGTAAGAGCGTCAGAAGGATCGTTCAGCGGATGAGCCACGCACTGCGGAGGCCTTCGTGATATCAGAAATCTGTTCCGGAGCCGCATTTCGGGTATTCAGGGGCGAATCATGCGCCTGATTCTCACCCCTTTATTCCCCGGATCATTTTCCATGCAGGGGTTGCGAATGACGATGATATTTTTCCTACGATGCGATAAATGCCCCTGAAACATCGAATCCAAGATGGTCCAGGTCTGAATCCCGCCCAGCTCAGTCCGCAGGCTCTCCCTCGTGCCCACGCTTGGATATTTTCACCTAGGACGGTCTTCAAGCATGACCCAAGTTCTCTTTGCAGAATCGAGCCACGTCAAAAAAAATATGGAATTGAGATTCGACGCGATGTGGAGACGATGGCGTGATATAATCCTCATGTTTTACGCCGTTGAATCGACGTGAGATGGTCAACATCCGGTTTTTCGGATTTCCCCCAACGTGATCGGGGACTTGGCATACGAACTCGTACGAAGATGAATCCTCTGCGCTTCCACCGCAAAGATCTTCGGGAGCGAGCTGAAATTCTTCATACCTGTGCCTCGACTCATCGGAATACGTACCCGAATGCGTACGAGTGAGCCTTCCCCAGCGGATATCCCCACGGCGTTGATGATGGACTTTGCGATGCTTGCCTCGGAACCCGTCGGTTTGCGATATTATTGAGCCGACGAATAGATTTTCACCAGTTTTTCTGATGGCAAATCCAGAACGATGTCCCTGTGAATAGACCCTTCAAAGTAGAGACGCGAAGGCTTGAATCGACGACGAAAGGTCTTCCCGAGAATTACCGCTGAAAGCACAAGACTTGCATCGGGCTGGCGCCTCATGAGAGACCCAGAAAGAGCGATGGAGGGTATCCGCGGAAAAACCTCGTCATTCAAGTAGAGGTTCGTCCGATATCTGATCCGCAGGCAGATTTCCATAAGTCCGTCGAGACTCTCGACTTCCCTCCACAAATCGGGGAGAGCGAATCCACCCTTCGAACTCGAAGCCGAGATCGGAGCTTCAAAGGATTTCCCATTGATCTGTTGAAGAGGCATAATCGTTGTGTCGATTCCCCTAAAGTCGCGGCTGGTTGCGGTGTGGGCGGGAACTCGAAGTGAGCGCCGATACTCGATATAGATTTTTCCTACCCTTGAAAACGCATGTCTCGAGTGTCGTAAACCTCGTCCCGAAATCCAGACAGCGATCAGTGACGCATCGAAAAGTTCGGAAGCATCTCAGTCTGGCTGGCTTTCGATACCATTTCCAAACCGGGAATTCATCGCGAGCGACTCGTGGGGTGCTCGTGAGAGGCAGTTACACATGTGGTTCATCAATGCCTCAAAGTGTATCGACCTCGTCTTCCGTGAACAGGGGGGGAACGCCAGCTCATCAGGATCATACCAGGAGAGATGAGACGATAAATGGATTTTCGAAACGTAGATAATCGCGATTAGACATAAAAGGAGGAAGAGCAATTTCGACGCATGACACAAGTCCATATGAGCTTCGACAATTTATTGTTTCAGTCGCATGAGATTGAGCGGTGTCTGCTCCGGTGAGAAGAGTGTGAGTCGCCCCCATCGTTCGCTCTGTCAGGGTCATTGTTTGAGGCGATTCAGAGTCGAGCCACACCATCCACCGCTGTCAATCAGAAAATATCCTGTCCAGCCTTCGGGGTGGGGAGGAAGCGGCTCGGATGATCCCAAAGCTACGACCTGTCGGAAGACGGGAATCCTCACCGTAAGGCTGATGGCTAACTGAGATGTTTCAAAAGTTTATTCACTTGATATGCTCGAATGTTACATCAGTTTGCAGAATGGTGGTCTCACAAATCTCCGAGATGATTCTCTAAACGTTCAATCATGTTTGATTTTCATGTATGTATATATCGTATGACAAGCGGTTCTTTTTCGAAATTCCAGCAACTCTAAATACAAAAAACCATGGGGGAAAGAAATATCTTCCTGCGGTGAAGCGATTACCTCCTTCCGGAAAGCTCCATCTAATCATTGTGAACTTATGACATGATGTTCGCAACTCGCAGCCGGGGATCGCGGAGTAAATTCTGGCGGACCCCCGAAGCTCGGTGCGGGTCAACCTAGATGGATTCAGATACAGGTCGTCCCCCTCTCCTCGTCTAGAGTCAGGTCAAAAATCGAGGTATCTGAACGGAGCATTGGATCTTTCAGTACTGTGGGCTTTCTACTGACTGGACGTTATCCATCGAGACTAATCGTAAGTTGTCCGAAGTATGAGAGAAAAGACGCTGACATGCTCTGGCCGCGAATCCGGAAACTGGAAGGGTGCGCCTCTTCTTGAGCTTGAAATCCTCACGAGGTATGTTCGAGAGAGACGAAAAGGCGACTCAACCATCCTCTCGCTTTTTCGAATCCCCAGCACCGATCCCTGAGAGTTTGGATCCGGATTTCAGTTCGCTGCAAACTCTGCTTGCTGTTGCTTTGAGTCCCGGGCGATCAACTCCACTATCCCACGGTGAGCGTTTAAGATAATACCCTCCAGCCGGGTAGAGAGGGGAGGGGGTTCCGTATCGCACATACTTCTCTGAATCGGAGCTGATGAGGAAATCCCGTCGTTCTTTTCTAGTGAGGTTAATCACCGGAATCAGAGTCCGGTCCGAGAGCAGAGTGGAGCTATGTTGACAAGCGGGATGTGAATCGAAGTATAAAGTGCTTGTTCGCGATTCATGAAAAGAGAATGTATCCTTGCAATACTCCTCGACGACTTCGATGGAAGCAAGCTATCTACGTATGTATGCATGTATATATCTCGTTATCCCGACGATTTTTTCAAAGATAGTGAGGGGAACCTGGGGCTCGATATGATCACAGGATGAGGTCGCGCTTGGAGCGAGTTTCAGGAACGGCGAATCAGGTTTATACGGGTTAGGTTGGATTTTTCTATTTGAGTTCATATTTTTACTCATTGAAACTGTCGACCGACACTTCCGATATCTATCTACAATGAGTCGTATGTGGTCCTTGGATTGATCACAGGAGCTAGCGAATTCGAGTTCTGGCCGGACTCCACTACTTTTGCTCGATGGAATGCGTCCCGACGATCGCGGTCATTGCCGAATAGATTCGAATCGTTGATTAAAGTCGAGCGCGACCACCGTGAAAGAAATTAGCACGGATATTCATAAAGCGGCGCTGCTCTCGGTTGTAGCTTGTACGGGGCGCGAATGCTGATATCTTCAGTCGGCGAAGAGGTCCGAATGCCTCGAGATCGGCTCGGATTGGGACCGGCTTGGATATGGATCCTCCTCGCCTGATTTTTGATGCTCTGCTCCGCAGGAACTCCTGCCAATGCTCGGAAAAGCACCTGAACGTTCTAGGTGAAGTAGTATGTATAAGTACCTACATGTCGTCAACCGAATCGCCGACAGGACAGTAGTAGTATTAGGTAAATACAGTGTGGCCTTGTGGCTTTCTCTGCAGATCCGTTAGTCAATATCTACAGTTCATCAATGTGGATTTCCATTCGTTCCTCGATCCAGTCCGCAGGATGGTAGGAGACGGACGACGACGCGACGTCTCCATTGCGGATAGATGTGTCTCCGACTTATCGGAATGACTCCATCTATTGTGTAAGTGAGTCGTGAACGATTCATAAAAGATCGTCAGCTTCGGAAGATGCCGATTCCGAGATCGTCTTCAGGTCGAAACCAGTCGGCCGTGCAGGTCTCCAAAAACCGAAATTCGTCATGGGTCAGAATGCTTTTTCCGTTGTCTGTCATCGTTGTTCTTATTCCAGGTTCAATTAGGTCCAGTTTCTCAATTAATGCTTAGGGTTTCGAGCTCGAGGGACGCGCATTCCAAGAGGGTCGTATCTTTGGAACGAGTCCTTCGCGCAGAAAAGTTTCTCACCGTGATGCACACGGTTGTGAAAGAGTTATGATTGTGAGTCCACTGTTTCTTTGGAGTTGTGTCGTCTGATTCTCTCAAGCGTTGTGAGACGGCCGCAGCGGCCAATCCTATCGATTAGGAGCTGAACTCAGAATCCAGAAAAAAGAATTCAGCGCGAACTGCTTTCTAAAATTATTGTGGTTGCTTCGGTGAGTGCACGAGCGAGGAAGACTGGATAAATGTAATCATGAGTCATCGTGTGGGCTCGACTGCAGCGCTTCTCTGTAAATTTTCCCCTCCGCAGCCCGCCAGTCGCCCGCCGCTATGATTTCGAATCCTGGTTGATTTCAAGTTACGGCGCCATGCGCTGTCCCATGGTGGGACTCCTCGTGGGAGCTGTCTCTAAGCCGAACAGAAAGTGTTCCGTGGACCATGATCCAAATTCGGGCTCGAGTTCCCCAGGGAGACAGCCGGCTGGAACCCATTTCTCCTCGGAACTTCGAATCGATCCAGCAGGGGAAAGGAGGGAGAAAAAAGTTCAACGCCCCTGAACTTTCCCGCTCATTCAATTTTGCGTAGTTTTTTTCTTCGCTAAGCGCTTCTCCAGCATTGCAGCGATTAATCATCCAAGCGATCATTTGGGAAACTTTCGGCCCGTCTGACCGATAGGTGCCACTACGGAAAATCGTGCTGGGGCGTTTGTCTTCCTGTCGAGGTCGATCCTTAGCTAAGACAACTAGCGATCTTTGCTTCTTCCTTAACTTTTGACGGCGGTGGCGGCAGCGCCAGCCATTCCTCCAGATTGGCCGAATGTGAACAAGCTGACCAGAAGGGTGACTGAGAGGCTAAAAATCAACATGAGGGATGAAGAAGATGCTCTCAGCCCGTAGGCCGAGCTCTTATTGCAACCGTTCCCCTTGCAGCACTCAAAGCAACTGTACGTGTTCTGACTCCTGTCGCATTTGTCGAGACCGAGACCGTCGGACTGTTTCGGATCCCGGAGGTCGCACGGACCGAGCGCACACTTTTTCTCGATCCAAACGTGGCCAGCTGGAATGTGGGAATGATTTAATGTCAGATAGCAGTCGACAATGTGGATGTTGGTGGAACAAGTTCCGCCTCGGGATCGGATTTGGGAGGGAAAACCAAATGTCTATCGGTAGTCCAGGATCTAGGGGATCGAAGCCAGCGTCGGGAATGTTCCCGTACATGCTCGCTGTCAAAGAGAAGCTCTTACCGTGATTTGTTACGCTGACCATACACACGTCATAGGCTTGGTTGGTGGGGCACGGCTTCAAAAAAGCGTCCGTGCAGTCTTCGTTCCTCTCGACGCGGCACTGATAACAGCTCAGTGGTTCCTCATCGGCCGAAGCTGCAAAACGATCGAACCCGTTATTAATGAGTCCTCGCACTCGCGATATTGGCCTCGTCGCCCCCGTTCCCTGAACCCCCATCCCCCCGAAACCCATGTGAGCGCCGTCGACCGCGATCAATTCGGTTTGCCTGAGCCTTTGATGTACGGCCTAACATGGGATTCCCGAACTTGTGAAACTTCTCTGACAGAGAACAGAAACCTGGCTTATGAGCAGCCGGCTTCCCGTGGCCAAGAGCCTCCTGGCCACATGTGCTTCGACCCGTCTCGTGGAGTCCCCGATGCGCTTTCCTTGATGATCATCACGGCGCAGCACTTTGAGAAAAGTGCAAAACATCCCCGAATAGCTACGAGAGGCAAAAGTCTCCGTGAAACTTCGTCTTGGCTAAATATAGCAGCTCGAGGGGAAGGCATCGAGTTCAAGCAGTTCGTGACGTCAAAAGCGTACGTTCGAACGCCCGCTTCCTCCCCGGTCGAAGCGCGGCTGTGTGCATGTCGGTCGTCGGTGGATCCTCGCCTCGGTGATCGACACGACAATTCCATACCACACGCACGTAGAACTGTTTGAACATTCGTTTCCGAAGAGGCAGATTTCTGCTGATCTCGAAGCCTAGCATTCCATTCCGGTGCAGCTCACAATCAGCGCCGTAAATTACAGCGTGCGTGCGAAATAGAATCTCGCATTCAGATCTCGCTCCGACTGGAAGACTAGGACAGATAAATGTCAGAGCGGATTGAGCGGGACTGAACTTCACACAAATGCATTGTCCGAGCAGCTAATGGATGTCCCTCGCTGCCGAAAGGTGCGTGAAGAGAACAGGCGACGGGAGGGTTAAGCGTGGGAGGAGAAAGACCGGAGACCTGACAGGTCCGACCATGCGTAATTTTTTTTGAAGAGAGCCTGCCGCTGACGTACGGCGAAATATGGTTCCCGTGCACGCACGCGGAACATGGTTCCGGGTTAAGCGATGACCGCGTGAGGCATCTGCCGAGGATCCGGATCGGGGATTCACAGTTTATCGAAGAGAGTAAATGGCAATATATTCGTATATCTGAAGAGTTAATGACGATTTCGACCGGCTGTGAAATACGCGGGTTCCCTCTTCCGCGTCCTCAAACGGCGCGGTGCCCTCGTGATGGTCAGCAATGTGATCTTTTGACAATGATTATTCCGCTCGCGAAGTTTCGAAACTCGATTGAGAGGAGGGAACTCATTCCATTCCTCGAATATTCGAAACGACAACGAGTATTCCGAACGCAGAGGTTCGCGCTGAAACTCGGCGAAGGATTCCATCGAGGGGCGAAGAAGCATCGCGTGTCCGATCCTGTCTCGAACCATACGGGCCAGAGAACGAGCTGCTGGTATTGGATTGCGAGAACGAAGCTCTGGTGTTTTCCCGAGAGCTCTAACAGATCTAATATTTTCCCACCCGTAGGAACTCCCCGAAAACAGTTATGCCGACACTCACCGCAACTCCACATGGCACAGATTACGATCGCAATGTAGACCGTTGTGAGAGATTGATGTTGCCCACAGCTGGGAGATGTTCCTCTGCGCGACATGGTGAATCGATTCCGGAAGAATGTCCCTTTGAAGAGTGGAGGCCTTATCTGTTCGAAGAAACCTCTGAAGACAGCCGTACCGCTCGCCTTATCCTAAGCTCTCCGCAGGTGACTCGTTGTCTGCTTTCAGTGATGCCGACGCGATCTGATCAGCAGAGAATCCGCCCTCCGTTACTGAATCCTCATCTATGTGCTCTTGGCGATATCGGCAGGTGTTGCGGCTGCGGAGGCTGCTGCAGCTCTATTTGGGACTTCACATGCGGCCACATGCACCACTCGACGCAATCACATCACTCAGATGAAGCCTCACGACTCTATCGACCGAGGGTCGCTTGACGAGCGATCGAGGACGCTGCACTTCACTAAGTCGTCAGACTGCGTTCTGGACGACGCCGCAGGTGTCGTCTCCGATTCGACTTCTCAACAGCACTCGCTCGAGGGCGGTCCAGACGTTTCCTCTTTCGCGAGGGTCAACTTGTTCGACTAGCGACCTGTTTACAGGTGGGCCAGATCGGTTGTTGGTTCGATCGGTGATGGTCGATAGTTGCTCGCCTTCCCTTGTCTCCCCGATAGGCAAGCGGGTCTAGCTGACGGAAAACTCGCTCCCTCCTCGCTTGCTCGGCTGGAGAAGTGGCTTGCGGGTGCCCACCCTTTCCCGGAGGATGCTCTCTTGTGCCTCGTTTTTGGGAGCCTGCCTGTTCGCATTCGAGGCGTGCGCGTTTAGCTCGCCGTGTACGGTGCTAGGGATGTGTGTGCTGCGCAAGAGTCGGAGCCCATCCTCACGAGGCGTCTGCTACGGGAAGAGCAAGAGACGTCCGAGGAGATGAAGGGAAGCTGGCGAGCAACCGACTCACTCAGGCCGTTCTCTTCGCACCTCCATCCCGCAGTAGGTACGTCAGTCACGCCGACTGCTGCTCATAGATGAAGGCTTCGCTCCCTGAAAGCCCTTCCTCGCCGTTTCCGGAGCTCTTCAATCTCGACCTCTTTCAGATGCGCTCAGGTAGACGTGGGATGTCACCCGCGACGCAAACATGGCAATGTCCACTTCTTTGTGGAAAAGACTCGCTCAAAGCCACGGCAGCAACAGCTGGGGAAGAAGGAGTCGAAAAAAAATCTAAATCTCGCAGGGAAAAAAACGCTTGATGATCTAAACACCGACGCAAGCGAACCGAGGAAATTCTCTGTCGCAGAACTTCCCCCTCCCCCGGGGAGGAGATCCGGCGGCGGTGGAGCAAAACGCCCGGAGCGAAAACAGTTAAGGAGGAAACTTTTCCCCATTCTTCTGAAACTTCCCTGTCCGTGTGGATTGGAACCGGAACGCTCTCCATCGCCGCAAGTGCTGCAGCTGCTTGCATTCATTCCTCGAAAGGAGTCCCGTCCTTCTCTTCCTCGGCGGTCGTCATCTTTTCCTCGTTCGCCGACTGCGAGATGCTCCCGCTCGACGAGTTCTGCTGATTTTTCCCTGCTCGGCGAACGCCGGTTCCCATCCCATCATTCTAATACGACGTCCAATTCGCGACGTCCAATTCCTGGAGGACGGGTAATTAGGCCGCAGGCAGCAAAAATTCAGTAACAGCTCCCGGCATACGTACACTCGGGGAATATTCCCGAATATAGTTCACTAAACGTTCCCTCCGAGGCTGTAGTCATGGCTCGAGCGCTTTTCGAGGACGAGGTCTGCTCCTCACGAGAGCAATGAATGCGACTCGAATGGTGCGCGAGACTTCGACTGAAAGGCGAGTTTTTCCCCGAGAAAGAGCGGCGTTCCACGATGATTGTTATCAGTGTAGTTGGATGGGTGCCGAATGGAACTAGAAACAGCCTTCAGAGAAGAAAAGTATCCGGTCGTTGCATCGCTGCCACTCCACCCCGTTAAATATTTCACCTCCGTTTCCTCCACACCCCTGCAGTTGCTGCTTTCGCTGGCTGTGGCGGAGAAGGTGAAAGTGCTGCAGCTGTAAGTCTGCATTTGCGGGCGACCAGATGAGGGAACGAGAGAGCTCTCTTCAGCGACTGTGCGCCAGCAGCCGCGGGAAGTCAGAGAGAGAGCAGTAAAACGAGTAAGTTCAGTAATTTACTGCTCACCGTCCCTCCTCGTTCGCTTGCTCTCGTTACGTCTCTTCCTCGATGCCCAACCTCAGATTCCGATCGGCTGACGAAGCTGATTCGGGAGAAGAGCCGGAGCGCTCCATTGGCTTGCTCGCCTCGAGTGCTCAGCCTGGACCCTCACCGCAATGCGAACCTCTGCGGATCCGCATGATTCCAGCGGCAGTGCTTTCGCTGTTTGGCCGCTTCCCATCTAGGGCGAGCGAGTTTTGAATGTTCCAGTGGTGAATACGGATCGGCATCGGGATGCGCGGGATCGAAAAAAACGATCGAATCCGCTCCTCCTTTGGCTTTCGTCTCCACTGAATGGAGTAGTGTTGCCCGGGATCAGGCTCGGAGCACGCTCCAGCTCTCGGATGAGCTCCCCTCGGATCTACCAAACCCATTTTTGATAATATTAGACGGTGCTCCGGATGTTATTCCTCGATCTATGCGGAGGCTGGACATAAGCCTCCATGGGCCGGTCAATCAACGCCGCGCTCGATTCGGTAGGCACCCTGAGAGAGCGTCCCTGAATCTGAAGAAACGACAGCGATCTCGCTCCATCGAGCTCGCCGATATCAAGAATGACCTCGGAATATCTCGCTACCACATGATGATTCGAAATCGTATTATAATCGGAATTGCAGAAGTCTATTCGCCAATGGCAGGCATGGAAATGAATACGGATATCGGAAATCATGGGAGCCTGCGACTCGAGGGCGCATCCACGAGTCTTGGTGACTCCTCTGGCTTTCCAACCGCGTGATGTCCGACGCTCTTCCTTCTGAGGTGAACTTTTCATCGGAGTCATCGTCAGTTGCTTCACATATATCTTCTCATCAACGCTGACTCCGAGATGAATGACGAGTTTCTATGTATTATACATGAGAATGATGCTTCGATTCTCAATTTTTCAAAAAACTCTCTGAACAAAGCTCTTTGTTATTCCTTACAGACAGATCACTCACGACGAGATACCGAGAAAAATACCGAACTCCTCACGATTCTGTATCCGATAACGATACGTTCAATGTGCACTCGCGGAAGCAACCTTCCATGTGTGCGACTGGTCCCCATACGAAAGAATCCCACTAGATGGAGACATAAATGCGATATTATGTGGTGTATCTTCTGGAGAGAGTCCAGCTCTCTGTTGTGGGTTTAGAGAGAGCCTGGTTTTGCTGCGGGAGTCGGAGTGATCGGCGTGTCCCACTTTGGGGGAAAGTAGGATAAATGACACAATTCTGAGCTCACAAGGGTGGACCTCCCAGCGCGACATGCATCCTCGCGATCTGACCACAAATGACTCGTGGGAGCTTAGATGATCTTCTTAGCAGATGGATTCGTCTCGATACATCGTCTCGGCTCCGCTAGGCAAGCTCAAGATCGCGGGAAGTGAGAATTTCGAGCAGACGTGACTTCTTGCGTGTCAGTGATCGGAATAGGATCTGAAGATGGCTCATATCTGAATCCACTTCCAATTGGGAGTGGCCCGAAACTGGAAAACTCCCTCGAGCTGTCGTAGATGACGGCACAGCACTTCCTAAGCCGGGCCAGACCCCGATCCTTGAGCCCGGAAATATCTCTCCCGGATGCCCCTCGTTTCCCGAGTGGAGGAAAAATGCAAGAGTATATCTTGCCTCTCGGAGTTCGTAATCTCAAAGCCCGGAAGTCGGACTCTTCGGTGTTCCGTCCGGAAAAACGGACAACCTCGATCGGTTGGGCTCACGATGGATCAGGATGACGGTGATGAATGCTGAGTTCCCCATTCCGTCCGACGACCTTCGATTCTTGCCCGCCCTCGAGAAACGGCTAGATCTCTCCCCGCGGGATAGTGAACCAGAAGCAGCACTGATCCGTAGACTCGGGGCGCCCAATTTCCACGCTTAGAATCAGTGTCCCGGATATTTTCCGGTCATGGAGAAGAATCCCGTGCACGAACTCTTGAACGCGCGGAATGATGCTATGGATAGTTTCGAGCTCGTGCGTGACGGAAGCTGGAGCCGAAGACGGACAGAAACTTGAGCCGAAGACGGACAGAAACTCGAGGTTCCAAGCCACCGAACTCAACCTTTTAAGTGTGATAACTATGATCGCATCAATGTTCATCCAACACTAGGTTTGCCGGTCGCGCTTCGCTCGCTATGTGTGCGGGAGTATCTGCTGGAAGAAATGGAAAAGGAAAAGACGGGGAAAGTGAGTTCGTTCCTGGAGCTACGGGGCACTGTCTAATGATCCATGACCTTCATCGGCATCATTCGATTCTCACCCGATACCGAGGAGGGCGAATGCCTCAAGTTCCACTGTCTGAGCCAGCATCGTACGGTAGACATATCTCCAGGCCTGGTGTGACGGAGTTCCGATGCTCCGATCTCAGCTACCGTCGACTCCGAACAAGTGAAACTCCAAATAAGGCCTAATTCGTTGTGTAGGTGATCACCGTCTGCGGTATCTCGACAGCGCTTCCCGGATGCAGACACTAGGATCCATTCCGTCTGTCCTCCCTCGTAGCGTAAATCCGAACTTCCGTTCCCTTAGTCAGGCCTTCCTTGACAGGTTGGCAGAGTCGCGGTAATCCTCGGAAAATCGCCTACTTTGGATAGGACATTCAGGCAGGGGTACTGGAATTTTTCAAGGAGAGGGGGCGGTGAATGCACTTAGCGAGGGGCGGATTGATACCTGTGGTCTGATTTACTATATATAGGCAGTCGGAACCCTTCGTCGACGCTTCCCATGAAGAGCTAGAAATCGCTTCCTTCGAGTGTTCCATGCAACCCGACCGCGCCGAATCCCATGTACATACCTCTCCAACTCTCGATGCCCGCACTGGAGGTAGGGATACCCATCTGAGTTGATCTATCCCGCCTGATCGGCGTATTCGCAAAGCCCTATCGAGACTGTCTCGATCGGGAGATTGCGGGAATCGATCCAGCGGCAAACATTTGCCTGCGAAATCCGAACTCGGTTTTCATGCATTCAAGCGGACCCAGAGCCGAAGCCGATTTATTTTCGAGGCCCGTTTTTCTCCACCTATTGGATGATGCCGAAGACCAGCGAAGTGTCTCCCATCTCTCTGGATGAATCGGAGGGAACCTGAAGGACTCTGGACAGCAATTGGAGCTCTGCTGTCGAATCTGAGTAAGTCTGAGGCTCAAGCGAAGCCTTGACAGAGGGGTCGTCAGCATTACCCACGCGGTCTTCTTCCCCCCGGTGACGCGTCTACGGGAATAACTCTTGATTCCGGCCATCCAGTAGTTTTATTGAAAACATGAACAAAAGGGATTCACAGACAGATCACCGTAATCGTCATATACATGGAGAAGTGATTCGAGCTTCTGAATCCAGAGCAAAGACGCTCGGGATTCCGGAATTAGGTCCACCCGTACACTGGAGCCTTGATCTTGATTTGGAACGCCTCGTGAGGTCACGGAGCAATAACGTACTTCATGATATTCCAGTCTTCGGATTGAGTTTGATTCTTCGTAAGCTATCGATAACGTGAGGAGTCGAGTTTTCCGGTAAGGGTGGTCCGGTAATTGACTGGAGGTGATCTGTGATTTGGGAAGAGCTACCCGATCGAAGACGAACCAATCACTACGCTTACCTACCACTAATCGACTAATAAGGGTGGCATTACCTCGTCGAGAGAGAGGAACTCGACTTCTATAATTTTCATACGTATTCACGTTTACAACGCGTCTTTGTACCACGTAATACGATGGCTTGACCATTGCGATTGCTGGAATCATACTCGATTTCCAATTGCCTTCTCAAGACTCCCGTTCTTGAGACGTTCTCTCGACTTCGGTTCCGTTTGCAACAGACTCGGTTGAAGAAGATCCCGACCGGCGCGATGTCAGTCGTGGGTCAATTTGTCCACGTAGAGGACCCCCGCGCATTGGTGAGCCCGTGACAATCCTAGCCGCTGTCCACGTCCTTTCCCTAGACCATAATTCTTCTGATTGAGATAGACTTGAATGAAAGGCAAGATTCCTGATCGGAGATCAGAGACTTGGTCGAAGGACTTTTCCCGAACGAGGCGGTCAATTTGGCTGCTCCTGTGAGGAGGAGGTCTCGCCTTAGGCAACAGTGAAACTCCTACCGACGTATCACCGGTCAGTTTCCGACGCATCCGGGACCCCCCACCCCTGGAGACGCCATGGATGGTATCCCATGATCGTTTTCTCGTCCCTGGCTGACAATTCCCAATCGTGATACTTCCGCTGGAGCCTTTTCTCTTTCTCGTGGTACTTTCCTCTCGCTCACAATCTCGGTCCCCGCTGTAATCTTCCGTGCTTGCTTTGATTGGTTCTTATTGTATAGTGCTTGCCTTCGCACTGTTTCATAGGAGTTCGTACATAAATAATTTTTCTCTTGCTTAATTTGTTTGGTTGTTTGTTTCCATGTTTTTCTCCTGTTTTGCTCCAGTGTGGCTTATTCGCGTTCACCTATCTAAATCTGCCTCTTGAATTGTGAAAGGGAACTTGGGCGGTCTGGGGTCGTCCGATCGAAATCTCCAAGTAGCTCGGGTTAGCGAAGAAAAAGAATTCGCGCGCGCAACTTTCAGCTACATTCGCAGGCAATCGTCAGCAGTCGCATCGTGAAGTACGCCATTTTTCAATAATCGATCGGAGATCCCTCCGTACGACGAACTCAGCTATGAGTCTCAAATAGATCCGCAAGTGACTAAGTATCTGCCAAATAGCTCAGGAATTTGTGAGTTTTGACTTTCGACAAGCCGTTTATCTCTCCGACTGTTTATTTTCAGCATATCCGGATTCCAGATTGTTCTGACCAATTTGCTTACAGGGAAAAAGAAATCTGTGGGTTTCCGATAGTTTCGAATCGAAGAACGGCGTCCGCCTTTCCATATGCTTCTTCCATCCTTGCTCCATTCTTTCCAAATTTCCATTCACATCCTCTCTTTCTCTCCGAATGATTGAACGAGATTGTGTTCTGGGGGAAATTCATCGAATTTTACCAAAAATCCGTTCATTTAGTTTCCTTCCAGTTTGCTTCCATCCTTTTCCGTCTTTGCTTCCTCCTTTCTGTACTTCCGCCTCTTCTTCTGCGTTGTCTTCTTAATGTCTCCGTCTTCTTAGGCTTCATTAACTGTAGGATTTTTTTTCATTTTTCCTCCTGTCTTGAATCTAAAGGAGTCGGTTGCTTATCTCTGTTTTGTCCTTTCGCTTTTGTCTATGCGTTCTCAGCTTCTGTATTCGCTTGCTCTTCGTTTTTTCTCTTCCGCCTCTTCCTTTACTCCTTTCAGCTGACGTACCTACGTACACGCCTCAGCCGGGATTCTGAATTGGAGATACAGTCGCGACTTAGTTGCCGTCACCCTCGGGCGGGGCGCCGTCCTCGCCTTGAGTGTCGGAGGTCCACAACTGCAAACGAAGAAACCGGAAACATCATGAGTCATGAGTCGAATATAATTTTTCCGATGGGTCCCCGACACAGTTACAGTAACAAGATTTCAAATTATAGCACTGGCCGGTGCTGCATCCGAGCGACGGTCGGAACCGTCCCGTTAAGGAAAGCACGAGGACCAATCCTACTAAGATTCGAAAATGGGAAGTCTCTCGGCTGAGAAGCATCTCTGACAGGCGGATCGCTGCTTAATCTGACTCGAAGGCCACAATCGCGATGCTGTCGGCGGTCGGTTAAGCCGCCGGATTAGTGGATCGATTGAAACTACCGCAAACCCATCGACGCGATAGAGATGAATGACTGCCCAAGACAGCAGTCTCGGCTTCTCATAACTGGAGACGGACGTACGCCGAAGCGTTTCGATTCATAAGCTCAATGAGCGAGAATCAGCGAGAGAAATCAGCAAACTGCAGAGCTCTTCCGAAGAGCGTTACGCCCGGGATCGGGACGCAAGAGATTTTCTGAAGAGGAGCGGCGCGGAAATCTCGAGCGGAGATGGACACGACACTCACCGTGAGGTTATCCCTGAGGAGCTGCATTATAAGCGTCGAGTCCTTGTAGGAATCCTCGTTAAGGGTGTCGAGCTCGGCGATCGCATCATCGAAAGCCTGCTTGGCGAGTTGGCATGCCTTGTCGGGCGCGTTCAGGATTTCGTAGTAGAAGACACTGAAATTGAGCGCGAGACCTAGCCGGATGGGATGCGTCGGTGTCATTTGCCCCTTGCTGATGTCGAACGCTTCCTGGTAGGCCTTTTGCGATTCCTCGACAACGGCTGTGCGTTGGTCCCCAGTAGCAACTTCAGCCAAGTACCGATAGTAATCACCCTTCATTTTCAGGTAGAACACCTTCGACTCGGTGTTGGTACTTTTGGGGATCAGGAAGTTGTCAAGAAGACCCTATAAAGCGAACACGTACGCAGCTTGTAGTATGGATTGCTCGAGTCGATCGCGTGTGGAGCTCTCGCAGGCGGCGTGACGGCTTTCGTTTATCGCTCGTTCAAACATATATCGCGGTGGGCAGGAGCTCGTCGTCGACAATTCTGTCCGCTAACAATTACAAACTTACTAATACACTCTGGCAGATGTCGGTGAGCTCCTTCTCGACCTTTTCGCGGTATTCCTTGGCCATGGCCTGTTTCTTCTCCGAACCTTCGGTTTTCTGCTCGATCGACGAAATAACTCTCCATGAACTTCTTCGGGCGCCCACGACATTTTTGTAGGCTACCGATAGGAGGTTTCTCTCCTCGTTCGACAGCTCGGGTGAGCTTTCTGTGATCTGCTTCATTGCAGCAGCCATGTCATCGTACCTGGAGGAAACAAAGTACAGAACTTCAGCTCTTCGATCGAACGCCGCGGGAATGACTCAGAAATCGAGACTCGGTCGGGTAATCCTGTCCTCAGAAAAGAATCCCCTCGGGTTCGAGTCGCACTGAACGGGGGGAGACGCTATCGACGCCGTCACCCTTCCGCTGGAACGGCTGTACGCGTGAGGTGCTCATTTGGGTGCCGACCATACGATGACGCATTATTCGAAAGAGATAAACGAGCAGATAAACGGATGGATAGATATTTGATTCGTTTGTCGTCTCATCGAATGTGAGCCGCGCGAGATTACTGGGAACGAGCGATTATTTTCCATGTTGTTTGCGAGCGTCGAGAAACTCTCGAAATGGATACTGACGCGCTTCCTATTCATAACCACAGCGATTGCTACTTGGTGCTACCTAAGCAGTGGTACGAGCGAGCCAACCTCCCATTCCCGTTGGTCCGGGAATATCAGCTCTCAGCACGCACACCAGCTCCATAAATAGCTTTCGGCCGCTGGGAGCCCAACTGGGGTTGGAATCGCGACTCGGAAGCTCCGTGGATCGGCGACAGATACGTGAAGTATGATTCGTTTCCCTCGACCGCGATCAGACTCGGTCCTGTTCCCCGAAAGCTCGCCGGCATCGCTGACAGGCAAGCATCAGTCGCGACGACGCACGCCTCACCAACGGAGATCTGAAAGAGAATCGATGAAGTCGTCCTGTACAAACCTTTCAGCCTGCTCGGCGATCTTCGCCCTCTGCACCAGCTGCTCCTTGTCCATTACGGCCACTGAGCACTCGCTACCACGTCCCAAAAACACCAAAAATTGCCAAAAATGCCTCGCTTTTCAAAATGGCAGAAGCAGCTCTTGCCTGGCGAGGACCGGATGAATGCATCCATAGCGTAGTTCGGCGGCGGGATCGACACCGCCCTCCTCGGGGCGCGCCGATTCAAATATGCCTCTCATTAGGCAATGAATCCCTCCAGATATCCAGCGGATCATTCTTTTCCAGCGAATCCAAGTGAGAACCTCCCGGCTGTTGGTTTGGTAATCTCTGGGAGAAATGTGAATCTGAAATTCCCCCCATGCCGATCGCAGTTTCCCGGAGGGCTGCTGGTGCGAGAGGTCGCGCGCAGCAGCCAAATTCAAATCTTGGCGTTCCCGGCAGACTTCGCTTACTCATGGAGGTTAGCCGAATAGTGCTCAGAGCGTTCGTTGTGGACCGTGATCGCGCCTCGAAGCGTATCCGATCATCTACCCCAGACCGATCTCGACCTTTCCTTTGACCCACATGCGAGAAGGAGCCGGTCCGATGACGGATAGGCCACGCTGAGGGGATCCTACCAGGGCTCATGGTTGGGGTCTAGGGCCTCGCGGGTCTGCTTCCCGTCCCCCGTTAACGTCATGGTTATAGGCGTCCACGTTTACGGGTCCGTACTCCCGTTTACCGAACACCACAGAAACTCGTTCTCGGAACAGTAACAGATGGGATCCTGAGCCTGAGGTGGACGTAGAGCGGCCAGTCGACAAGGGTCTGAGTCCGACAAAGTTCGGAAAAAGCGGGTCCCGGTCCATCCCTCAGAGAATCTGCTCTGAAAGAGCTTGGACCCCCGAAGACATGAATTGGAGTTCCTCCAGCTCTCTTTCCAAACGTTTGCCCGCTCTCGTTACCGGCGGAGGAGAAAATTGAATTTTATCGGAGCTCGGTGTTCTTCAATGTTCGCAATTTGAGGTTCAAACATTAGCACCGCTCTCAACGGAGCTGCTGCGCAGAAGGGAGATCGCAGTAGTGCGCCACCACCGGCTCCAATGTGTGCGAGCGGGGTCGGTTCTGCGCCGCCGCGGCACCGCTGCCGCCGCTCCGTGAGTGTGTGTACGGGAGTCGAATTTTCCAGAATATCTCGGGGAGCTAGCGCCCGGGCTCGGTCTCGCTGCCGAATGCGTTCACTCGTCCAATCGTCGTCGACGACCGCCGTCGACGGCCGACCGACCAAGCGAGCGCGAGGAGCGCCGGCGCGGCGGCGACGACCACCAACTGACGGGTCCATGCTGCGCACGCATGCTGGACGCCATCTTGCTCTTATTGATCCATCTTCTCATCCCTCCTCGACGAATCGAGAGTGGAGCAGCAGTCGGTACACGACGCGGAGAAGCGATTTGCGCTCTTCGGGACTAGAACCACGATATCGTGTCGAGCTCCGACACCAGAAAGTTTTGTCCTCGACCGAGACTTCAGCGTAACGCGCCGTCGACTCCTCGCGAGACGACGAGAGCACCAACCGCAGCCACTTCGACTATTGAGCCAACGCCGGCGGCAGCAGCAGCAGCCAGGCAGACAAGCCTCATTGTTGTTTTCACCACCAGCAGCCGCCGCCGCTGCAGAACAGACAGACAGATCCTCCTCGACAGCGACGACAACAACAACGACGACGACCAACACTACGACCAGCAGCGGGCACTGACTGATTTTGCCGAGTGCGTTTCGTGCGATCTTTGACATCAGTATTCGAACGGCTTTTCGTGTTCGATCCAACGACAAATTAAAGCTCAGAGATGGAAAAAGACCAGCTCGTACAGCGCGCCAAAATCGCCGAACAGGCCGAGAGGTAAGAAATTATTAACGACGACTGACTCTCTTCCACACACCGACGTCGGAGATAAGCCGGGAGCGAGCGTCGCAACCGTTTTTCTGCGCCGTATACGCACTCTCGACCCTGTATGGGTCGCTCTCGTTGCGCTCGACTACCGATCTGAGGCTCGCTGGGCCATTTGACGTCCGCTCTCGACCGACTCTCTGACGTTGTAGTCGGCTGAGTGAAGTCGCTCGCAGTGAGTCTGCTCTGGCTCGGACGAGCGAGCTAGCGCTCTCACGTTCCCTGGCGAAGTATTCTGCGATTATTTATCCGCCGGGTCGAATCGATCGAATCTCGAACCGTGATAGAATTCAATCTCGATACCACTTCGAGACACAAGGGTTAGCGCTTTAGAAATTGTGGAATCCGGTATCACGGCGCTGTTCGACGCTCGTCCGACTGAAGGAAACGTATTCGTCATTGCACGCGGGAAGCCCGCATTGCTCATCGTTCTGACTAGTCGGCCGTAGGCGTTGTCTCTTCGTTTTGGGGGCTAGTTTTTCCTACTTTGACGGATGCGGAGAGATCCAGTAAACCTAGTCCGTGACGGGAAGCTTTTGCTCCCGTAGGATATCGCTCAATCGGAACAGGTAGCAGGGCCTCCGAAGAGCCTGAATTGCTGGAGACGGGGAAGTTTCCGATTTTTTCGCGCCTGCGGGGAACATGGGAGCAAGCGAAAGGAAAACGACGTTCGCTCCCCCCGCAAATATCTCCACTCTGGAAACAAGGCGTCCGCTGCTAGCGCCGGCCCCGCGGTTGCTCGAGAGCTATTCGAGCGAGAGCTCGTCGAACATTTTCTCACTCAATTCAGTCATACTCATAATCCGATTGAGTCGGCCGCGAGTTCCCAGCATCGCTTGTCCATGGTCCGGATAAATAATTATTGACACACGTATTTAATTCGACCGAGGAAATCACGGCTATCCGCGCGTCACTGAAGTCGTTCGCATTCGTTTCTGATCATCTTCTCTTATGGAGAAACAGTCCGAACGTCATTTGCAAATGCCTTCTGTTCCCCGAGCTCTGCGAAGCTTCGCGCGTCAAGCGCCTAGTCTCAGACAGCGCTGTCGAGAGTTCACAACACAGCTCGGCATTGGGGATCCGCGACCATTTCCGCGCCTTGGCGCCCGTGGAAAACTTCCGAACCGAAGTGATTAGCATAACAGAGCGCAGTGATGCTCTCGTACTTTTCGCCTGACGAAAATTTTCAATTCTCACTCGTCGAGCGCTCCCAATCACGCAGCCGTAGCTCTCGCGCTTCGGAATGGCAGGTCCGTTTGTTTTCGGCTATTCATGGACCTTGTAGGTAGCATGATTATCGTACTCTCTTCTCTGCGAGGCGATTCTACGCGACGAGTCGTAATCTTGTGTCGATTCTTCGTTGCTCATGGATCTTCACACTCGGTCGAAATGAATCGCTTTCCCACATTATCTATGGGAGCTATTCTTCGGGGTTCCGTTCGTAACTTTGTGTCGTTAGGGGAATGACAAGTTGTAGCTGTCTGTTTCACAGGAGCCGTCCATGTCATTTTTACGGAGCATGTGAGCGACAGCGAAAAAGTGGCGGCTTATCCTGGCCGACTGACTGTCTGGCCGGTAGGCAGGCTGGCAGGCTGGCTGGGATTCTGTATTATTGCAATTCGGATGGATAGCTCGAAGCGCCAGAATGTCGACCACGGCTGGGTATGGTTCGAGTCCCGTTGCGGTCTTGCCAAGTCGACGCGCGATTGTTTAAACGTCGCTTACCGCGTTTGTGTGTCCGTCAGCGAGTGGTAAGTTGGTGAACATCGAAGCTGCGGAGAGCATAACGCATTGACATAGAAACACGCTGCCACAACACCTACAGCGGCCACGATCCCGAACTTTTTATGGCTTCGTACCGGTCTCGTTCCACGAGTCCATAACGACGACTTCATTGGCGTCAACCAGTGCCAACAAGGCAGAAAACGGGGGAGGAGATTCTCCCGCGAACTCTAGTCGTACGATATTTCCCGGTGTCGTCGATGCCCGAAATTCGTCACGAGAGTGTCCTGCCGCCGGATTAGAACTGTCCCTTGACTCGAACGTTCCGACCCGATGATCTATAACCGGAGCGCAAGATCGCCTGACGATTCTGCGACGGAAGCGCTGGCATGTCGAGGTTCCGAGTCGTTCAGCTTGATCTCTTGCTTCCAGGTACGATGACATGGCGGCTGCCATGAAGCAGATCACAGAAAACTCTCCCGAACTCACAAATGAGGAGAGAAATCTCCTGTCCGTTGCCTACAAGAACGTGGTGGGAGCTCGCAGAAGTTCGTGGAGAGTGATCTCATCCATCGAACAAAAAACCGAAGGCTCAGAAAAGAAGCAAGCCATGGCCAAGGAATACCGCGAGAAGGTCGAAAAGGAGCTCACCGACATTTGCAATGATGTGCTCGTAAGTAGTGACGCTCACAAGCTCCGGCGACTTCTAATCCGTACCAAGTTTTGCATAACGACTTCCTTATCAGCTCTGAGGAGCTTAACACTCGCCAAACTGTTAACACGGGTCAGTCGGCGCTGCTTTCCGCCTCCCTAGGGGTCGTCCCTCGGTCGAACCTCTGGTCGCTCGGCCGTCTTGCCTGCCCGCCGGCCACCATGGCCTTTCGATGTGCCTCGGTCGACGGCCGTGGAGAAGGGAAAAAATTACTCCGGGAAGTTTCTGTGCGAATGCTCGGTCGTTGGAAGTTGCCGTGCTAATCCTATAATGATTGACACAAAAAGCTCAAAGCACGAACAATTCGATTTTAGTCGGAATTTTCTTCTCGCTCCCTCGCAAATCTGATTTCGCTGTGCTCGTTTGTTCGGGATCGGATTTCGAAACAGAAAACCGGAGTTCCTGTTCTCGAAACGGTCATGGACTCGTTTCTCTCGCCGGCCTCTTCATCCGACGGAGTCCTCTCACGGTCTTCCTTTCAATAATCATGACGGTGACAATCAGCTGTGGAGTGCTCTTCTCACCCAGCGGGTTGTCATAAAATCGCAGAGCCATCTAAGAGAGCTCTTTGCTTTGTCCGCTTCTAGGGTCTCCTTGACAACTTCCTGATTCCGAAGAGTACCAACACCGAGTCGAAGGTGTTCTATCTGAAGATGAAGGGTGACTACTATCGATACCTTGCCGAAGTTGCCACGGGAGATCAGCGCACATCTGTCGTGGAAGAGTCACAGAAAGCTTACCAAGAAGCATTCGATATCAGCAAGGGACAAATGCAGCCGACACATCCCATTCGATTGGGCCTCGCATTGAATTTCAGTGTATTTTATTACGAAATTCTAAATGCACCCGACAAGGCGTGCCAACTCGCCAAGCAAGCGTTCGACGATGCCATTGCTGAGCTTGACTCTCTCAACGAAGACTCCTACAAAGACTCCACGCTTATAATGCAGCTCCTCAGGGACAACCTCACGGTGAGAATTTCGGTTGATAATTCCGGTTTTTCTTATCCGCTTCCGCTCGGCATCGCGGATCAGTTTGGGGCGATTTGGAGTTTTCTGCGCGCCTCGCGACACCATCAAGTTGACTTGCTAGATCAGGGCGGAACTGCTCACCGCGATACGATCCTCGGTCATGCATGGTTCTGTTTCCATTGTACCAACCCTTTGTGTTTAATTTCAGCTGTGGACCTCGGACACGCAAGGCGAGGAGGCGCCGCCGGAGGCTGAGAACTAAGCTTTGAGAGAACGAGAGAGAGAGTGAGCAACAGACATTAACTAAACAGCATACGAGGAGAGAGACGACGCAATGTGAATCGATTGAGAGCGATTTCCGCAATCGGAGGAATGAAGAACTTCAACTAGATGGTGATGGACCAGCGGGACATGCGACATCGTACGACACATTCGATTGGTGGGATGGACAACTGACTGACAGTAGAGCGATCGTCTTCGTCGGGATACATTGGCAGAAGCGCCAACAATCATTACCGAACTTGAAACGGAGACAAGTCTGAGCTTGAAGGATTAAGAGACAAGAGTCGTCCTACGATATCGCTGTTGCTGGTTCCTCAAGACTAGGTGGGAGGGAATTTAAGCCTCTCTGACAAAGTGATGGAGCTCTCAGACGACAAAGAAATAAACGAGGAACACTTGAACAGTTCTTGACCGAGACACACTAAGAAAGAAGAGCAGATGGCCTGATGACTGACTGCAAACCTTATGATTGATAGTAACGATGATCGTGGTCGTGACCACGCCTTGCCGATGAAGATGATTTTCATTATGATTATGATTATATCATTCCCTGCTGACGGATGATTTTTCTCATGACACCGATATGACGGTATCCTCCACTCCCCACAGCACACGTTTTGGTTCGAACAGACAGACAGCCAGTCAGACAGCCAGCCCCAAAACTTAATTTTCGGATGGGATTTTCTTTGGAAAGCTTCTGAACGACGACGCGTCGGCTTGGGGCAACGATGGTCACAATTCGATATGGGTCGTTGCTATCCGTCGAAAACTATCGGCCCTGGACCCCCGTCACCGGGGAAGCGCCGCAGAGCACCGAACACTCCGACTCACTGGATTGTGGACGAAGAATCGACTCCTCGAATATGATCTAGGCCGGACGAGGGATGTTCGAGCTCCGTCGATTCCCTGCAAATGACGAGCAGAATCTTCGGAAGATTTGTGGAGACACGCTACGCGCCGACCGTTCACTTCGAGCAGATTGTTTCTCTCGCGCGATAATTGAGTTATTCTCTGCTGATTTTCCCCCGGACGCGAACGAATCGGGGACTGCGCGAAGTCCTCGTGCTGTCAATTCCTTCGTTCGCTACATCAGTCTCGACTCTCGACTAAGCGTCGTGACGCAATCAGTAACATCAACAGCAACTCTAGCTTTAAGCAGTCGTGGTTTCATTTCCTAACATTTGTTCTTCTAGTTTTCCCCGAAACACCACCAAACGATTGAAAACACGATTGACGAATACGCCATGAAAACATACACAAGTTCGCATGTGATCGACGATACAAATGCTGTCGCGCGTGGTCACTCACGGACGTCTGCCTAGAGATTCCTACTTGGGCAGTTGTCTTGCTGACCGAACGCTCACTTATTCATGATTCCATGAACAAATCCGTATTCCTGGAGCTCTCCCGATTCTTTCGGTTCGTCTTCGAACTCGAACGAGGTTCGGTCGGTCGCTGCCGCCGTCCTCTGCCGTTACTGCCTTCGTGTGTTCGCATTACGTTTGGCGGCGATTGAGGGGGGGAGCTCTCGTCTCGAATTTATCAAATAATTCACAGCGCCACGTTCGGTGGCGAGTGGGAGAATAATTATTCCTCGAGAAGAGTTCAAGTCAGTGGAACAATCGATGTTGACTCATTTTGTTTAGAATTTCACCATTTGTTGAGTTTTCCACTTTTTTACGCACTTTCCTCGTTTCCCTCTATTTCACATCTTCAGCACTTCGTATATCCGTCGTCGTTTATCTATGGTCAACTTCAACTCGACTGTCGTCAATCTTCTCAGCTCATGGTGGGCATATGATTGAAACGATTGATGTTCATCTTATCGATGTGTCTCGTCCTATGTCATTCATGTACTGTACTTGTAGGACTTTATGCCGCTCTTGTAGCTCTGACATGCTAGAGCGAACAGCTGTACGTTTATGTGTCTCAGCACCTGCAGCCGCTGTCGATATAACTACAGGGATCAAATCATTTTTTCGTTCGCTCATTGTTTCGAACGGAGAAACGGAACTAATCATCTTTCTCCTCTGCGAACAACACATTGGAATACGAGAAATTGGAATCCCTGTGATCGACCCACGCGCGCCCTTCTTTTTCGTAGGGTGCGTGGGGAGGTCGCACTCAATGGGGAGAGTTTTATGAAGAAGTTGAAAGCAGACAAACTTTCTAAAATACTGACCATCATGAATTGGCTCCGAAACCCCGACGGTTCCTGTTTTCGTCCCCAAACCTTGCCTCGGATACTGAGTTTTCCGTTCAATGTGATGAAACTTTCGAGACAAAATTCGTCAGAGATTCTTCGGCATCAGTATTGCACTCGAAAATCCTATGGAGAATATACATAATATGTGTGTTTCGGATGAAACGGCAATTTTTCATTTTCTCTAATTTCGGAGAATTAGGCGATCGATGAGCTTTTTCTTCAGAAGACAGTGTTCTGTTGACTCGGAGTTGAATCGAAAAAGAGATCAATAAACTCTAAATTTCCATTGTAGTAGCTTTTCATCCTTATTGAGCTCAGGGAGGGGAGCCAACTTACGGCCGAGCCCGTTTCCGGCCGCCCGCAGGAATTCTTTCCGCTCGGAGGGGGCCGATATTCTATTATCCCCGAAGCACGGGACTTGATTCTCCTCGCGTCGCTCTCGCTGGGCGTTCGCGCACCGAGATGATTCGGGGCGCGGACGACCCCGGGGAGATTCCCGATACTCGCAAGAGCCAGGAGGTCCGTCTCCCCAAGACAAGCGACACGGACGCTTGGGACCGGTAGATGTCCAGGTCGCGAAACTTCAGAGTATCAAAGTACAAAGAAAGACCGATCTCCATTCGCGGTAATGATCCCGCCAACGGGCAGGTACGGTTGCGGACGACTCATGGATTCATTCTCGCCCAGCTTCCCATGATGATGCGGAAACCCACGCCGAGTATGCCGAAGACTGGTCCCGTCCCGCCAGATGCGAGCTCTCTCGTGCTCCGAGACAGAATACGTCGGACGGTGAGAACGGCGACGGAAGAACCCACAATCGAATGATTCGCTATACAGAGTAGGCCATGATCCGGCCGAATACCTCTCTCGGCGGAAAATGTAAAATACCACAGGAGCAGCGGTCGGTGCCTGCGCGGATTTCATGTCCACAGGATCTGCGCATGGAGACGAGCTTGGAGGACACCATCTCTCACATATACCAAGCGAGAAAAGCGAATTGAGGAATCCGACCATGCGAAGAGTTGGCTTTCGGAAGCAAGGGTCCTATACCCGATTTCGCTACACTGCTCCTAGAATGTCTCGCGGGCACGCGGATGAAGGCAAAAAGCTATTACAGCGGACGACGATCGACTGCCTCTCGATCTCCCGACAGGATGAATAATGACGCAGCGCTATAACCGATCCGGTGGCTTGATTGGAGCCTTCCGGTGGATGACCTCCTGAGACTTAGAATCCCAAACACGATCTCGAATCGGTCGAAAGTATAGGTATACGCTTGGCGAATCAGGTCTAGTCCGCCGATGAAAGTCAGGAGCCCGTGGAGCTTTGCCAGTCGGAGAGGAGCTAGATTCAATGATTCTCCGCTTTGTGTCCATGGGAAGGGAATTCCTCATTCTCCAACGTACAGCGCTCTGCCAGAGAAATAACCCCCACGCGCACAACTCAACAAGTGTGATCTCATCGACGTATGTGAATGTCCACCGGGTTTTCTAAGTCCCCTCTTCCTTCCTCTACATCCCCTATCCCAAAGGTGACGGAGAGTCCATCCCTCTTCCCTCGGTGGGCACCTTTATCGCACCCCAGATGCGATACTGCTTCTTGGAACCGAATTCGATCTGAGAAAATATTCTTCACCTCGCATGAAACTATCATTGGGTGCATTGTCCCATGATGGGGCACTGAGAGCAATTGTCTTTCGCGATATGAACCCCCTGATGGAAGGAGCCCCTCGATTTGACAGGATCTGCTCTGCGGCACCTGAAATCTCCTCACATCATCTCAAGAGTCCGGATCGAGTGAATGACGTAATCAGAGGAAAACTCTTCCGCGAATCGTTCCCTTGGAGGGGGGGGGGATGTCAGTCATCCTCCGCCAACGATACAGTCTTCCCCTTCGGAACGCAATCGGGACATCTGCTCACTTGCGAAAAAAGTTTGTGATGCGGCATTCTCCCCTGGCGAGAAGTTTCGTCAGATGCATCATCCTTGGTGAGACTTCAACAACATCCTCCGGAGATGGAGTACGCACGAGACCCACGGGCAAGGATTCGTTTATTCCTCGTCAAGGCAGAGAATCTGCCCTCATTAATATTCATCTCTTAGCTGCGTGAGATCGCAGCTCTTTCCTTTTTCACATGTTTTTTACATTTTAACATCTTGGGTCTGCTGCGGCTGGAAGCCCGCTTTGTTGAGTTCTCTTCGAAGCTGGTCTGAGAAGTCGTCCTCGACGTTGTCGTCGTCCCAGTTATCTTCCCAAACATTTGCCTCTTCCGCGTCACATTTTCCGGTCCATTCTGTAAGACGCAAGAAGAACTTTAGTTCCAGCCCAGCAACGCGAACACGGATCACTCGAGAGCTCACTGCGGAATGAGCTTCCCAGAACTCACAAACCGTTGCGCGGACACGTCCATAGGAATCTCATGGTTCGCTTGAAATTCGCCATGATTGTGCTTACCTTCGGCGGGGAATTCCTCGAATTCGTCGTCCTCCTCGAGAAGTCCGAGGTCGACTTTCTTCGGGGTTTCCTGACTGGCGGTAACAGAAGACATTTCTGTGAATCAAGTTCGCTACGTCAGTGGAGAGTCAGAATACGACGTACGATCCGGTCATATATGAGCACTGCCGACATTTTCAGTGAGCCGATTCACATAGGGTGAATCGAGATAGACTTATTCGACCAGACCGGTCAGGAAATCGAATGGAACGACGGCTCGTGGTTTCGCCTAATGGATTGGGTTGACAGAAATGACTGTGCAGAAATTTGCTACGCAAGACAGGAGTGAAGGTTCGCCCAGACAACGACTGTTACGAGAAGTTCCAGAATTATCGTGGGGACGATCGCCCTCTTCGTCTGACGGGGGGGGGTGGTCGTTTCCTGCGCGCAGTCTTAGGCTCGTTCAGATTATTCGGTTCAAATGGCTCTTCGAAATTTAACTTACTTATCTTTTCCTCCCGCTTAGCCGACGGAACTCAGACGACGAAGTTCGGTTGTTGTTCTCTTTGCTCTCTCACTATATAATGCGCCATAGACAGAATCCAAGATGGCGGACGCTCGGATGGAAGGCGCGCACTTTCAAATGATCAGCCGTGGAGCAGCCTTCGGTTAGTTGTTCGAAGCAGGAATCGGGGCGGTCGCAGGTCTCACTGTTGACAGGGACTTTCTTCCGAGCTCTAATTAAAGAAGGAACCCCGTTTTGGGACGGATACCCATTTTCATAAGGATTACTTTCTCGAAGGCTCATGAAGAGTTTGGGTCCGCTTCCGCCAGACACAGAGTTTTGCTGGCTGGTCGTTTCTCGCGAGCGACAAACCACCGATGAAGGATGAGGCCTGCCGCGACGTCGATGGAGAGCTTTCAGGATGACCTCGAGAAAACTTTTCATGGAGCTGCGTCCATTATCTATCGTCATTCGAGTAGCATCGGTTCTGTCAAAATCGTTTTTATTTCCTGAACTTGAGATTGGCGACCAGAGCCAGGTGATCCGACGGGAAGATCGGCGACGGAATCGCCTTATACTCTTCATGTGCCAAAAGGTCCTCGCTTGGAAGCGGCACGATTGAGTCCACCGCAATTTCCTTCAGGGATAATAGCATCTTGAGGACTAAGTAATTATGGAATCGATTGCTCCGATGACGATACCAGTCGTGACCTACAGCTCGAGTCACGTGCGCTGCTCACCTCAGAATGGAATATGTAGTCCAGGCAAGCTTTGAACTCGACAGTGTAATTCGTGAACTCGGGTGTACCGCAAGCCGATTTCATGCAGCGTTCGATTTTTGCAACCACTCCGCTGATCTTTTCCTCGGGGACTAAAGGAGAGATGAATGAACCGATCGATCGAGAAACTCTGAGCAACATCGGCTAGGAACCTAGGTGGCGAACGATAACTCGCCGAGGAAGGCGGTCACCTACCGCTGATCCAATCCAACGAGTCCTTTGGCACGTGCCCCGTGGTGAAGAGTTGGTAGACGGCGAACTCGGGCGTGCTGTTGAAATCCCCACAGAACAGAGATGCACACGGCGAATCGTTCTACGGGTACGATTCGAGATTATTGCATCGTCCCTGATTGCTTCCGCTCGATAATGCCTGATCTGACTGCGTATGATACTCACATCTTTGAATCTTGCAGCGGTACTCTGAAGCTCGCGCAAGCCCACGAGAGCCTGGAGCAGCCGAATGTGGTCAGAGTTCGGGTGGAAGAACAGATGAGTGTTCCCAACTACCAGGTGCTTCTCGCTAGCTTTATGCTTCAGGACGGCTTGCTGGAAAACGGGGACCCATCGTTGTGACCGGGAGCTCTGAGCTCCAAAAACGCTCATTCGATTATTGACGACAAGATGGGACATCTACCGAATCGTGAGTTCTCAATCTCACCATGTACATTTGATTCAACTCTTTGAGTCTGAGTCTGAGCATCTCATTCGCATTCACGGCTTCCTTGAGGTCTGCCAAATTTTCCTGTTTTCGTATTGCTTGAGAATAAGTCAAAGAAGACTGCTCCAGAAGCTCGAACTTCGATTTCCGGAAGAATATAGCGACACCTGGAAAGAGATGACAGGATTTCCGACGAGCCCAGTAGAGACTCAGCCCATGAATTCTGGAGCCGACGAGAGATCCCCGGACCCATCTGTTGGAGGTTCCGCACCCAAACTTCGACCTCACCTTCAGAGTTTTGACCACACTTCTCAGCGTAGAAACCTTCGAAATCGCGTCGGCTCAGCGATGGGTAGAGATCTTTGCTGAACATGCTGCGATCAACTTCTTGCAGGCAGAGGATGTCCCCGTTGTATCCTACGAAAGAGATTTGAGTTACTCGATGGCACCCGGATGAAAGCTCCTGAACGGGCGGGAAGGGATATTTTCGAACTCACCTAGGATCTCTCTCATGAGTAAGTGTTTCCTGTACTTGAAATCAAGCGCCCAGGACGGACAATAGCCGAATAATACGTTTTTCGAGAACTTCGTGTGAGCATAAATGTTCGCCAATAAGTTATAGGAGACGACCCTGAATCTGGAACCAGCCACGGTATCAAAGAACGCTATTCTTGCTTTTGATACGGACATCAGAAGGAAAACTAGACGATCTTGACTCACTCATCGTCCGGTAAAATTTCTGCAGTCAGTTTCAGCCGGTCATCGTACAGATTGTAACCCGTGGGGTGCGTCACTACAGAATCTGAGATCTCTTGAATCCGAACGCCCTCTGCATCTTCCCGTCTTGGTTCGCATTCCACCTGAAAATGGGAAGTATCCCCAATCAAAACATACTTTCCGGAACTCATTTCGCGGCACTTCGGTCGCCGGGGCTCAAGCGAAGGGCACGGCATGCCGATCCAAGCGAGATGATTCTAGCCGGAATATTTGTCTCACCATAAGATTCTGACCGACATGTTCTTCCGTAGGATAGAATATATTGCTACATTCGCCGTTGAGTCTCAGGAACGTTCTTCCTTTGATTTTTCGTACATCGTCCTCGGGATACTTCTCAATCGCAGTGAACTTCGGCGCTTTAATCCACCATGAGAAAACGCAATCTTCAAGTTTAGCGTGCTCGAGACTCACATACGCTTGGACCGGGCAACCTGGAATTTTCTCTTTCCGTCATCGGCTGTGCTGAACTGTTCTAACGATTTCGCAGGGAGACGAATCTTGCCCTCCAGGAAAGAAGAAATTCTTCGTTCGGGACCATCTTTGTGGTCCGAGATCGTACCGACTATCAACATGCTGGGGAGATCGAGTCGGACGATCGTTGGAGCGTTGACAACGATAAGGAAACTGTGCGTTCCAACTTTCAGCGTGTTTCCTGTTTTGAAAGCCTCACGATTCGACAGGAACGGCTCGAGAACCTGGGAACGGCGTAGCGTCAATCGTGAGAGATGTTCGAGGGAAAGAGGGGCTCCCGAGCTGGTATGTTCTGCTTGAGAGATCAGATTTCGGCTCTCGTTTTCAGATACCAGCGGATTCTTCCGAGGTCTTCAACGAAGATATGCTCACTTTCCCAAGTGGATCTTCCACGTGGACTTCGAACTCCGGCGTTTCGATATCCTCATCTTCAGACTTCTTCCTTTTCCGTCTCATTCTCTTCTCGGCCTCCACGGTTATGTTTTTCTTCGTCCTGCGGAGATGAATCCCCTGGTCAAAAGCAAATCGAATCAATGTCTCTTCTTTCCAGGGATATTCATCATGCTCCAGGCGGCAGAAAACCTTATTCCTACGATATCATCGATGAGTCGATGAATTGACCATAATTTATTCGCCACTCAATGGTACTGGTCTTTCGCTCGATCCAGCAACACAGGTCCGCTCATTTCCAGTCCTATTCCGGCCGCTCGAGGCCATCGCGGCCAAGAGTCGATGTCTCTGAGACGCGGCATAAAGGGAGCTCTCGAAGAGAAGACCCCGTACGGAAAATTGCGTACAGCCGCCGTCAATGATTGAGCGAGCCTTGAGTTGGATGGGGTTTCGACCAATGACGAAGAACCCAGCTCAACGAGATCACGGAAAATCACTCGAATATCTATGATCACCTTGTGAGAGCTATTTCGAGGGCCTCGTCAAGACCCCTGTTCAGGGTGAACATCCGGTCCGGAATGATTTCGCTCTGCAAGCGAAAAGAGAGCAGCATCTTCTGCTTCTCCTCGTTCAGAGACACGAACGCGAGTCTTCGTTTCTCGGTGCTCGTCATGTTGCTCCGCCTGAAAGCGAGTCGCGATTCGATTAGTAAAATGCCAAGGGTGTGCGCGGAAGTCATCTGACAATATTCCACACGGTATCTTATCCACGGAGCGGCTTCATTGTTCGGCTTGCATCCCTCTTCCAACATTGGGAGCGTATACACCTCAATTATGCGTCTCACTCGGATCTTTGAGCCCGAACAAACTGTTCGCGCAAGAGTTCCGGCTGCGGGAGACTCGCTCCCCGGTCGCTCTTCGCTCAGGAGAATTTCCTCCTACTTGATATATTTCCTGATATCTATACCATCCCCTATCGGGAAACTGGTGGGCAGTAATGGAGAAATGCAATCTTAGGGTTCTCACTCAACTACCTGATACCAGCGATGGATCCAGGTGCTCTCTTGAGAGCGTCAAATTTCGAATGGGACAACAGGAGCCGGTGAGAGACTCGGATCATTGCTCGCTCCTGGAGTACTCCGATGTGTTTCTCCGGACTGCGAGCTCCCAAATCGATGGAGGGAGCGCGGAATAAAAGCACAGAACAACTCCAGGTCTTCGATCAGATGTTCAAGACTCCAGCCGTAGCACCGGCGCATAGTGATATTCCGTTCGAAATTGTGTGCGCCGGTTGAAACATCTTCACAAAAGCGTGGAGCTTTTCCCTCCTATTCTGAACTGACGATAGAGATGATTTTCGAGCCCCTACCTCGAATCGACTCGAGCCGGGATCGGATACGGGGCAGAATTCGAGAGAAAACGTGGTGAACACGCGTTTTTCAAATTTGGCGCTTCTGAGCCTGTCTGCTCTGTCGGACGTAAACACAGCAGCGCGATTCTCATCGAGCGCGACTCGGAGTCTTGAGGTTTCTATCTCCGGAGAGTGTATCGAGGGAATCGGGATCCTGTCACGATCAGGTCGAACTTCCTACTTTCAGTCTTCACTGCTCCGTATCGAGCAGTCCCGAGGGAAGATGGTAGAAACACTTCGAGGTGCCGGTCACTGTGACAGGGTTCTGACGAGCCGTCGCATCATTTTCCCTCAGCTCACAGAAGAAACCGCGAGGGGAAAGCATATCATGGTTCTGCACGACAGGGGTAATGGAATTTTCATCCCGTGCGATATAATAATAGTTCATACTCAAGGAAACCGCCTGACAGTACTCGAATCAGGGCGCGAATGTCCGCGCATCTTTTGGAATGTTTTCTGAATAATCGAAAAACACCAAACCTCGGATATAATGATCAGTTGCTCCGAGATTTCATGATATTCTTGAGATCCGATCCGCAAGTCCGTGACACCATCTGCCGCATTACAGGCAGACGAGCCGAGAAAACTTTGAAGCAGATCATCAAGCACGACATCCTCTGTGGAGGATCATACGAGCATCTGGGGGGCAACGTTTACCTCGTCGACCGACCAAAAGGTAAGGCGAGATCTCGAGCGGAGTAATATGGTTATGGATTATGAATAACTACTCTCGCGGACTCCTCTCCCCCGCGATGTCGACTAATGAATTCCAATCCATTCCTTTCCAGATGGTCATATCGAATCCGTGAGCCTTGATGTAGAGGGCTCCGAGAGTCGGGTCTTTTTCGTGGAATGCAGCCCTGAGCACGAAAACCATTGGGGTCGGTGCACCGCTGATGGATTTTCGTGCGGAATCCTCGACATGGACGTATGGCAAAAAATTCTGGAAGGTAGCGGACCGAACGACTTCACCGTGTCGCGCTCATATCACATGGACTGCGAGCCGGACTGGACTCTCGAGAGCGAGCCGGATCCGATGTCTGAGGAACAGCAAGCCATGCTCGAATGTGGCCTCCCTCTGAACTTCGGCCAGAGCAGGGACTTCAGTAAAGTTTGCGACGATGCCATCCTGGTGGAAAGTTGCATCGTGGAAAAAGACTACGATAGGGAGCTGAACGACTTGAACTCATCCACGGAGAGACTCACTGTCTCGGAATCTCCGCCTCCCGAGGCTGACGAGGTATCAGGGACGACGGGATCCGACTTTCCGGGCACTGACCCTGCGCCGGGAAGTTTGTCCGAGGCGCAATTCAGAGTTTTCTGGCTCCTCCATGGTGAGCGACTCTGCACGGACTCTTGGCGCGCTAAATACGGAACTTACATGTCCGACGCGTCGGTGTTGGACCAATCCGACTGCGCCGATGAAGGGATATGTCGAGATCTGAGTGCGAACAATAGTTTCAGTCAAGAGGATAAAGATTCTCGGAGCGCATTGAATGCGCATCCGCGAGCTGCAGCGGCGAATGGGACAGAGCCCGAAAGCGACGAAGAAAGCAATGCGAACGATCACAGTGCGGCATGGAGCAAGCTGTGGAGAGAGCACGCGTGGGAAGTGTATCTTCAGCAGATGAATCGGTTGCTCAAAGATGAAGTTCCCCTTCATGCTTGCGCTGACGTCCAGGAGCAGCAGAACATCTCCATGGGCGCTGTCGGCGAGGATGCCGAAGGTGCCGAAGCTGCGGGGCACAACGAGGAGGACCAGGCAGCAGACGGGGAGAGCTCGTTTCCCGGGAAACGGAGCCTCTCATTGAATGACTTCGGCCTTGTGACTGACGGAGAAAGTTGCAGCATCGATAATCGTCTAATAAAGAACCATAAGCTCAAGAAGATCAAAAAAGAAAGCCACAACCACAAGCGCCTCCCGCTGACGACGAGTGCGGACGCGCTCGAAGATGCTCCGAAAGACGCTCGTCTCGCCAAGTACTGGGCTCAGCGTTATAGACTATTTCGGAAATTCGACGACGGCATACGTCTGAATGAAACTGCCTGGTTCAGTGTCACACCGGAGAAGATAGCCGAGCACGTCGCCGCCCGAATGTGTCCGAAAAGTCAGAGAAAATCGAATTTTGTGATCGACGCCTTCTGCGGCGTTGGTGGCGACGCCGTTCAGTTGGGTCTGAGATCCCAACTCGTCCTCGCGATAGATATCGATCGAGAAACGATCGAGATGGCGAAACACAACGCGGCGATTTACGGAGTTGAGAAGAGATTGGATTTCATCCAGGCGGATATGAACACCTTCGTACCTCGGATATCACCTGACGCCGTACTATTCACCCCGCCGTGGGGAGGTCCGGAGTACAAGGACAAAGATGCTTACGATCTTTCGGATATGGAAGTTGATCTGGTCAAGATTTTTCGAAGGTGGCAGCAGGTTACGCCCAACATCGCGCTGATAGTGCCGCGGAACACCAAAGTAGAAAAACTTTGTGAATTAGGACGGGTGGAGCTGGAACAGAATTTACTGAACAAAAAAATCAAAACGCTCACGGCTTATTACGGGGACCTCATTTGTAAATGATGCTATAACCTGTCGTTCATGTTGTATAAATGCTCCTACGATGAGTGAATCAACAGTTCGCTCATGCTTCTCAATATGACTCGTCCTTTCAACCTTTTGCCATACGACTTACGGATCTCTCATGCTATTTAAACCTTCAATTAGCATGCTGTCTAACACTCTGATGTACGTACAAAGGCAGATTTTCTCCCTGCAATGGGGGCGGTGAGCGACGATTCTTCGGGGAATACCCTAGCCGCGAAGATGTTGACGTCCTTCCCTATGATGTTCACGTACTTTCCTGGATGTCGTATATCGTACGGCGGATCCCTGATGAGGTATTTTTCCATTAGCCTCTTCATATATTGATTTGATCGTTTTAACTTCTGGAGGCAGCCCTGTAGCATCGATAGTTAAGATAGCGCAGCTCACATGCACGTACGGAAGACGAAGGAGAGGATACACCAAAACAATAAAGTAAGCCTGACATGCAGGCAAGCCCCAGTTGCGGGTTGGTCGAACCGAGCCCAGTGTGCTTCTCTGTTGGACGTTACAAGCCCCAGCGCCGAAGTTCCGGCTTTCAAGTTCGACCAGATTTTCCGCGATATTTCTGATTATTCTGACCTGGGAACTGGACAGAATCTTGAAACCCAACCCCTCCAAAAAAACTATTACGCCAAGGACCGTCTGGAGTTTTTCGCCAATCCGTCCTTCCCCGTGTCAACCGAGTTTCTTACACCTTGCTTTCGCAAGTCGCTCCCACTCAACCACCTATTTACACGGACGCCAGAATTCCCACACTTTTTGTTGGCGACGATTCAGAAGTCGTATCGATTCTGCTCAAATTTTTTGACCGATTTTTTCTGGTGGGAAATCCCTATATTCGAGATCGGCGAGTCCAGGGAGATATCCTCTCATTCTGGAGCACTCTCAGCGACTCCTAAGCTTATCGGTGAAGCGTCTCAAGTGCGAGTGCAATTCACCGATGCTATCGGATTTGGCATTCCCTTTGAGCGAAAGTAAGAGTAAGCGAAACAATGCTGAGAACGGCCTATGTCTGGTCGAACGAGGACTTCGACTGGGATGTAGACTTTGCTGTTCGGTGTGATTCGCGATTTATTCACAGGAAATTTACAGGCTAGACAAACTGCTCCAGGCTCAATATCCGTAACCATGGCCATAACCGTGCCCGAGCCCGTAGCCAAGACCGTGGGAAAGACCGTGACCGTAGCTGTGGTGACCGTGTTGGATTTTCGAGCCATAGGAGAACGCTCTGCCGACGGGATGGCCGTAGCCGAATCCTCCATAATGACTTCCATATCCGTGGCCGAGACCGTATCCATGGCCGAGACCGTGTCCAACTCCGATACCGTATCCTCCGTAGCCCCCGTAGCCTCCGTAGCCACCGAGGTGTCCGGCGATGGCGAAGGCGGCCATAGTGGCGACAATGAGCAGAGCAAGCTGAAAAGGAGCTCATTCTTTGTAGTCGGGCAGGAACATCATCCGGAGAGCTGTTCCACCGTTTCGAATCGAGAATGAACTTACAGTTGACTTCATGGTTGGCTGTGTTGGGATTGACATTTTGTCGCGGCCGGTTACGGACTTTTATCCAAACCGTGAGAGGTGAGGGTTGAGGCGTGGTTGGGTTCCACGAAAGACCAACCAGATCGCGCGATACCTGAGCCGGATTCTGTGCGCTTGATATGAATACGCTTGGAACGAGCAAAGTATATAGTGGTAACACGATACGAATTACGCGACGGCAGTGGAACCCGGTCTTATTTGAGTTTTTTGGACTGCTTAACCTTCTGTGTCGCATCGAGCTTCGGGCCCGGACGCTGGATCCCTCAGAAAGCATCCATCACGAAGTTATTTGGTGATTTTTCAAGGAGAAAATCCTGCGGGGATACTTAAGAATTGGTTCACGTGGAGGGCCCGATCCAAAATTGATTCTTTCGCTGCGGCGGCTACTCTGTGAATTTTCCATCGGAATCGCGAGCCTCCGTCGAAGAAGGCCCCCTAGTCTGATGTTCGAGAGTTATGTTTGGATTGCGGAGAGACCATTCGTCTAATATGTGCTGTACCCAGAAATTTGCGTCCCCGAGAACCCACTCCGGAGACAGAGACCTAGGGGGTACAAGTTTGTGACGTCAAAAGGTTTTGACTGGGGCGACACCCGATCATTCCAGCTCACGTAAATGAGCTGTGAATTGGAAGAGACGCTGCGATAGTTTTGCGGTCGCGAGCCTTCGGTCAGTCAAGTTACGATATTTCCCTACTTAACCATGGCCGTTATTAACAACTTTGGTTCCGTTCCTCGTGGACCCAGAACTTACTCAAATGGAACGGAAGAGTAAATTCTTTCAGGAAGGCGAAAGTTTTATTACCACAGCTCCCAGAGGTCGAAATTGAGCCCATCAATGCCACTGTGGACCGGCTCTGATTGTTCCTAGGACGGAAAGGGTTCCCTTATCTCCCTGTCCTTCGACAGAAAGCGTAGTCGAGGCGAGGGGTCGGATGCGACTCGGTCTTGGTGCCCGAGTGAGGTTCCCCCGACTCTTTCCATATGATATGTCCCAGAAAGCGAGATCTCCACTGTCGACCCGATCGGTCAGCCCCGGCCGATATGAGGGCCATGCCGGATCTGAATCGTGGTTTCGAAATGATGCTTATCACTCATATCGGACGAAAACCAACGACTGCCAGTTCACCGTCTCCCATCGCTCGACACAAGCTTCTTTCCGAAGTTCTCTCTCCTCGAGCGCGTTTGTCGCTCAGCTCTCGGGTATCTTCCAGTCCTGAGCTCTCGATGTGATTCTCTTCTGGTCGGGGTCTCGGCTCCCGGAATATCCTCCCACGACTTTGCTCGATACACTAAACTAATATTTTCTGACCGAGAATCAAGCGCGGTGCTCAGCCTAAAAGCGAGAAAAAAAACGAGCCGATAATAATCGGACTGCCGAATGTCGTCGGCTGGCCGCACCGACCCCACCTTCGCGACTTGTCAAATACATATACCTCCATCGCGGCGCACGGTGCCAGACAATGTGTATGCTATTTTGATATTCAACCCGCTATCAGATTTTCTGCGATTACTGCAACGCCGGCATTCTGACGACCCCGGAGGAATTTCAATACAAAGACGCCCACTGTCGGATCTCACTGGAACCACGTCTCGCTGGCCTTCGAGGGTACGTGATAGGCTATCACCGATAGCCTTTGACGCAATAGCCGGAGGTGGCAGGTTCTTGAAGTCGAGCTCGCTCCGGTGCTTGCCCAGACTGGATAGTCTGCGGTCTCCCCGGATAGAGGGAGCTCGCAGAAATAAAAAAATTCCATTTATCCCGAGCTGTCCGCGAAGATTCCTCCTGCTGCCAGTCGGGTTCGGAAATTCGATAACCTGAATGCCGGAGTTCATATATCCAGTAATGCAGTCGGAGACGTTGATTTGCATCTACAAATAGTAAGTAGAGCTTCAATGAGGGTAACTCGGCTCCAATCGACTGCCGCATTCGAACCAATTTGTGATTCTTGCGGCAAGACCGAACGGGGAGTAATTCTGCCTCCAGCCAGCCACAATCAACTCGCATATTACTGCGTTTCCCGAGCTGAGGTATGGAAAGCGACCGAATGGCCAGTTCGACCAATCTAGCGAGCGCTATATCAGAGAAGCAAATTTCGGAAATCGTCCAGCGAGCCCCAGAAAGCTCCGCAATAAGGGGAGGCTCTGAAGGGAACCCCTCTGTCCTGATCAGGACAGTGAGAATGTCGAGGAACAGGCTTGAAGACATATAATCTTCATTGGTGCTCATCGTCAAACGCCATTGGATCCCGTTCCGTCCGTCAACCCTCGAAGTCCAACGGCCCGCGACGCGGGACTTCCACCTAAGATCGCGATCGATCAACGCCCTAGGATTGGAGCTCGACTTTTTCCGGGAGCCAAGGGCGTCTCCAGCGTTCTCCTTCGGGAACCGAGGAGAATGCTGGCTGTCATATTCAAATTAGCCATCCTCCGCACGGAACAACGCGCGATGTAGTTCACTCGAGTCTGCCTCTAAGGTGCACTCCGCTTCGACGAGCCGGCCATCAGTCGCTTTTGGAAATTCGCCTTCATGTCCTCGGTTTTGAGGGAGAACATATATGATTCCCGCCTATGACCAAGGAAAACATAGATCGTGCGGAAGTCGAGTCGAAAGTGGCCGGGACCGATCATTCAAAACGCTAAGCCGAGGTCCGTTTTTTTGGTATTTATTTTTCGAAACTTCCCTCATTCATGATCGAAAAAAGCTTCAGATTCCTCGTCACGGAAACCATCCACGCTATACTTGGGGAAGTCATTGAACGTTCACATCCTTTCCTCCTGGCGCATTTCTGAAGCTTCATGGCTGGGATCGGGCCGAAAAATTCTCTGAAGCAGCTTGAGATCCTTGGAGTGCGGGTCTGTTCAGAAGATTCTACTCCATGCACGGGTTCCTCGGCCGGAGAGATTAAAGTTTCCCGATAGACGTCTCGAGCCTGACGACGAAGGACGGAACATGCACATGCGCATCTATTCCGGGACGCGAGGGCCAGAACCTGGAGCCTTGGAGGAATCTCGAGCATCGTCGGCGACTCTTGATATAACGATCGAACGATGATTCCAGGCGTGACGTGTTCGATTCTGAGCTCTGTTGAACGATCGGATTACGTGTGAAAACAAATCCGCTCGCGTGCGACCCCTAACTGGTTGGGAATATTATTTTCATAATCCCAGAATAGTCTGATTCGGGCTGGCGTGCTTCACTGAGCTCGACTCGCACACGATTTCCCCCTGGAACCGGGAAGCTATAAGAGCAGAAGGCACCTGGCTCCAGCAACGCACTTCCACATCCGCTCAAATTGCTCTGAGCATGGCCTCTCTGGTGAGTAGCATAAGCAGATTAATCGTCGGTAAGTGGATTCACCGGATTCGGAGCCGCACAAGTTTCCTCGGAGCGTTCTTCAGAGTTCTCCAAAAATTGATTTCCTGCATCAGATCGCAGCTCTCGTCTTGGCCATGATCACGATGTCTGCTATGGCTGAGCATTATGGAGGCTACGGTCACCAAAGATATGGAGGATACGGCGCCTACGGGGGATACGGTGCTCCAGGAGGCTACGGAGGTTATGGAGGATATGGCAAGGGTCATCCCGTGGTGTATCACAGAGTTGGCTACAGCCACGGATACGGCGGCTACGGCCACGGTGGTTACGGATACGAGGGCTATGGCTTAGGATACGGCGGCCGCGGTAGGAGATATGGCGGCTACGGCTTAGGATATGGGTACGGTCGAAGATACTACGGTTGAATGCGTCGCCGATTCCTCAGAATCAAAGTTCTCCCGTGACGTTTTTTGTAAATAAAGCCGCTCGATATCGGATTGATGCCCTCGATCGTGCATCAGTGAGCCCGAGATTGTTTTTGCGTCAGAGGAGTATTTGCACTTTCATTATGAGTGATCTCCATTTGCGCGGATCGCATTGGTCTCAAATCTTCGTCATGCCCTTGCGACGGCGATGTCTCGCAACTTCAGATGCATGACATTGGGTGGTCTCTCCATGAATTATGCGATGGGGCGTAGGAAAACGGATCGAAACATGACCGACGCCGGCGAATACCTAGAAGTAAAGAGGGTAAAGAGGGATACCTTCGGCAGAGGACGAAATTATCTTTCCTGCTCAGAAAAACTTCGTCGGGACTCCAAATCTTCATTCGTCCTCCTCCTCCTCCTCTCCATCATAATTAAGGAATGGCGTAGCAGCTGTCTGATAGTGGGTCCTGGCTTTAGTCTTGGCTGGATCGTCTCTTCTCATGACATCCGTCATTACTCTTCTCAAAGTCCGCATTTTCAGGATAGGGTTCTTGTCAAAGGCATCGCAGAGCCTCCGGAGCTCTCTCATGGACACGAACGGTAATCGAATCTGATCGAGAATATGCGTAAGCGCCGGCTCCCTCTCCGAAGGCTTCAGCTTGACCCAATTGATAACGATTTCCACGAGATCGTCCTCCGATCGCACCCGCAGGTCATCACGTGCGATGACATTGAGAAAGGCTTCAGGTGGAATTTCCGCGAGCAGATACCGCTTCGTGAGAAGCTCTTGAAAGTGTGCGGCGAGGAAATCATGACATGCGTCGAAATGCTCCTGCAGGATGGAGTCGTGTGCGTCCGCATAGTGCTGACCGAAATTAGTCCAATCAAGTTCTTGCGTGGAAACGCGAACACATAGTGAGACCAGCGAAGTGACCTGGAACTGGTGGGCCAGGGAGAAGATGTCTTGGAAGTTCTCCTCGTTTATGTGAATTTCTCCAGTGTACACGAACTTGAGGAAAGCTTCGACAACTTCGACGCCGAAATCGGGGACATTGACTTCGTTCTCGTTCGACTCCACGAACTCACAGCGGAACATTGCTTTAAAGTAATCACTTATCGACGTGATCACCGCTTTGTGGACTCTCAATGTGAGGCCTTCGACGAAAAGCTGCACGTCTCCTGTATCCTCGCGTTCGAAGAATAGCTCCATGAGTTCTCGCTGATCGACACGGATCCAAGATTCACCTATCTGCAGCCGCTCTGTGCCGTGGAAACGGTCTTCCACGGCCACGAAATAGACGTCGTCCATTGGTGAAAGTCGGCAGCAGGCTCACATCCGACCAGAGAACACAGTGAAGCCTCAGAGCAAGGTCGAGAGCTCTGCCTGTGGCTTCCGAGACTGTGAGCTGACAGCCCGGGCTGGGTGGGGAGAGAGTCTGAATCTCCACTGTTGCATTTCCGAATGACGTTATGGGTCGACTCACCAGAGTCAAGATCTGTGACGTACTCGCCTGCTGGAGGAATTTCACGCGAAGCACTGCGAGAGCTCGTCTGGGAATAGCATTGGGTCTAAACTTCCCGAAGATTTACAGGCTTTACCACGATCAGTTCACGCGTGGACAGCTCCTTGCTCCGGCATTCATCTAGCTTGCATTGAGTTTTCGATCTTTCTCATAACGAGAACGACGATTGCCACTTACGGAAAGATGAATCTCCGGATCCGCAAGAATGCTGCAATGGAATCTGCGGCGAAAATCCGAACTTGAGGAGAGAGACCGAGCTGATGCGCGAAAGAATGTTCGAAGCTCCCCCGACCGGTATCCGGCTCACGGAATAATAAATACTCTCGAGACATGTCCACCAGCCATCATCATCGTTTGATTAACCATCTGATTGTATCGAAGGAAGTTTCGGAGGGAAACTCCGGGAACAGCTGTGCAACGGGAAGCATCCCAGCGGGGTGAACGTGTTTGATGATCGAATTCCGAACACGGTCACCTCTAGCGATTTTCCGTCCCGAGAGCCCTCCCCTGAGTGCGAGAGCTCGACGCTCATCGACGGTCCTTCCGGAAGCTGTGTTCTATTGAAGCGTATTCGACTCATTCCTTGAATAAGAGACATTTGAGTAATTCAATCGTAATGCGGAACCCCCGTGGTTAGCTCCGATAGCCCACCTTCCTCAGGAAGAATCTTTGCGTCCGACCGGATTGTCGGAATAGCTCGTGACCCGCTCGTTCCAGCCTGCTACAGACATCATCGAAGTCCGACTCCAGTAGGGTTCCTTGGGGGATAACGAGGTTCCTCAATATCCGGGAATTTCGGTCTCACCGAACATTTGTTCACCGAGCGACTCTTTCTCGTCCGGAATCACAAGATTTTGATGCTCCTACGGTCCTGAATTCCATCCGTTCCACACAGCACCGGATGGATTGTGCTCGCGGTCATTCCTCGGTTTCACTCCTGATGCAGTTTGGTCCTATACAGGGGCGGATCCAGCTTTTTCTGGAGGGGGGAAAGAAAATTAGATTTTCAGGGGGCAACGAGCCCGACACGATGTCGCGCCGCCCTGCGGCCTAGGCTATAGTATTGGGACCGAGGCTCGTTGGCGGAGGGGGGATCGCCCCTATGCTTTCCCTGGATCCGCAAAAGGTTCTGTAGTTCCCGTCCGTCGTCAACGAATCTGTCCGGGACTCATACCGGCTTCTACTCAAACTTTGTGGGAGCTCGGACGCTTTATCATGCTACGATTCGAATGGGCACGAGCGAGCCCGTGCCTCGGCAGAGAACCCGCAATCTGCATCCCTGATTGCTTCGTAGTCGGCCAGCTCGTCTCGCTCACCTGACTAATTTGGACCAGATTTCATGCTTGCTCCCTAGATTGGAGCGCGGAAGACTTCTGTTCTCCAGACATGGGTCGGCTTCCACCTATCATCGCGGCTTAGCACCCCGACCCTCCGCCGCGAACTCGCGAACTTGGACGTGGTCGATACGACGTTACTCTTTAGCCTTAGCCCTCGCTCTCCAATATAGTTTCCCGCCAAAGTTGGAGTAGGTAATATTTGTACTCGTGGGAGATCGAATATTGGCTAAGCCTATTCGAAACGCGGTACAACACCTGGCTGCCCGGCTCTGCGTTCTACGGGAATATTCCGCCCGGCCACCCATGTGGATTTGGACGAGCTCACCCCGCTCTTCAGGATGAACGCACAAGTCGTGAGATCGCATCTTGTTCCAACCAGAATTCAGCTCCGACGATGCAGTCCTGTATCCCTTCCTCATGCCTCGCGATCCCCCTCCTCTGGTACAGCAGAACCGCGGTATTACGGACCGCATATGACCGACTCTCGGCTATAACTTACCGATTGCTCGGTCTCGGCTCTCGGCCGAGCCTGTGGCATGTCCCGCGTTCAGTGACTCGATTGTAGTGGGCGAAATAAGGGACACTCGCATGTGAGGGACTGATTTCTCGACCCCGGTTCCATCTCGTCCCGTGTTATTCAACTCGATTAGAGGAAAGGAGCTCTCCTCGCGAGGGAGGAAATTCTTCTCGAGTGGTCAACGATAAGATCTCCGTCACGATCATTTATGCATATTCATTCTGATAGGAGGGAGACTCGTTGGAGCATTCCCACCCCGCAGAATCCCCTCACAACCGAGGAGGACAGTCCGTCTGATTTCGAGTCTGCCGAGGAAGAAAGACTCTGGTGATCCTGTAAAACTTTTTTCTTCTTGTTTATTCGGCTTCGAACCCGACGTGCGGCAGCTAGGCTTTCAGCTCGGGGCGCTAACAGTATTAAAGTACAATGTATTCGGGAGGAAGAGTACAAACAGCTCCGCTCTCCGGAAACTCCACAGACAACAGTTTTCCTTCAATGCTCACGCTCGTGCTCAGATTCATCTCAATCAACGGATCCAATTCTAGGTACTCACTTGAACCTACAGGGAATACATTCAATCGATCGATCTCCAGCCATCGGTGAGTCTGCAGAGAATCATCATTCTCAACGCAGACGGAACAAGCCATCCAAGGTATTGTGGAATGCACATTAGGCTGGGCATCATCCGCTGCAAATCAGTAATCGAAGAGGGGAGGAACATCGATTCAATAATGAGAACAAGAAGCAAGTGCGTCGGATTGCGGTTTCCTCCCTAACAACCGCAGTTCGAGGTGGACTCCGAAGTAAAAGCATTCAGTGGTTGCATCATCGAGGTAACGCGTCTCGATCCTGGAATCCGATCCTTGAATTCATATCAAATATTGTGGTAAGCGGCAGTGATTGCAGAGGCTCAGGCAGAAGGGTTCAGCAATTCAGCACCCCACCTCGCAATTCCAAATACTAGATCAAACTGCGGGTCAAATGTGTGATCGACTCCTATTCAATTAGAATGTGTTCGTCACCGCATCTGTCGACCCCCGAGCTCCATTCAATCCGTCAATTATCGTGATGGTTCCCACGCAGTTTGAATAATTGTCCCTTCCACGACTCGTCGGACGGCTCCTTCCGCCGTCGATAGTCGTTCTCGATCAACCCGTTCGAAACCAAATCGTGACGAGCAGAACGATAGCTATGCTCGACCGCTATCGATTCGGAAACATCAATCGATATAACCGTCATCATCTTATTGCATTTTGATAGTTTTGAACAAGTTATTTACAGCTCCCGATGAGCCATGTTGAGACTAGCATGTTTCCTGGTTCCATTCGGCTCCAAGTTCGCCGAGCTCTATTCGGGCTCTGCTGGACCCCCTACAGACAAGACGGAGCGAGGCCTCGTTCCCAATTATTTTCCTAGTGTCGATGTATCGTTGACGACATCCATCGGCTATTGAGAGTCTGTCGTGTAGCTGAATTTTTTCTAGCTGGGCCCCGAAATTCATCGTAGGCCCCGGTTGTCTCTTCATATGAGGTTGAGGTCGAGACTAGCCGTGTTGTTGTGCGGTTCGTTCGCGCAGTCCACAGAACTCTCCTCACTCGATGACTTACTGAGTCGCAAGGACGCCTCCGGATCGGGGATCGGAGTGTGCGGGTTAGAGACAGGACTGTTGCATAGGGTTTTGGGCTCGTCTCCCACAAACACGGTTTCCGTTTCGTCCGAAAACGTGACATCCTCGCTGCTGCTGATCAGCGACTCCGGGATTATCTGACCGATTTTACGCCCTTTGCCGATCTCTCTTCGGAGGAATTCGAACTCGTCGAGAGTCAATCTGATCTCTGAGCTTGAACTCGAAACATCCGACATATCCTCGGGCTTGGCAAACAGACGCTTCTTCTTGATTTTAACGAAGACGCGTCCCATTGGCGGCGTTCCGCTGGAGCTTGAACTAGAGGAAGAGTGCGGAATTTGTGGATGGGTTGCTTTTTCGGGAGGACTTCCTGAGGCTTCGACAACAAAGCCCGTCGACACGCTCGACGTTGCTCCGAGCCTCGGCTCGTCGAAGGAAGCTCCACGGTGTTCGCTTTCAGAGCCTTGCAAAGCGGGTTCGATGCCCTCATTCGATCGAAAGGAACCGCTCGGAGTCCCCAAGGTTTCGTCCGTCGAATCCTTGTTCGCCCCGGATGGGCCCGGGATCGTGGCAAGGAACTCTTCGATCTCAGCGCAAAACTCTTGAGAAATCGAGAGCGTCGTCTGAATTCGCTCCTCAGCTAATTTGTTCTCTTTCTGTGGAGAGTCACGATCCGACTCCGCGCCGGCGGCCGTGATTCCCGCGGGCGGCCGAGGCGCCGGTCCAGTTTCGAGCGCGGGATCGCTCAATAGCGACTGTAAGCATGCGGCGTATCCATCTCGTAAATCAACATGGGGAATATGACTCGATTGCGAAGCGGAGAAATTGTCGCCCTGTTCGGAAAAGGCTCCTGTTGCGGTAGCGGCACTGCTGGCACGCGGGCTCCTATCTAAGATTGGCTGAAAGGGAGCCGCGTCGCGCTCAGAATCGGCGCTCTGTTCCGAATAGGGTAGATCTTTTCTAGCGAAGTCGTCTTCTTGCGAGTCTTCGTCTTCGTCCGTGGTAAGTTTTGGCGGACTCACGAGACTTTCCGAAGACACGCTGACGGCGGGGGAGAGTTCGCGCCGCTGCTCGGGAGAATGCGTCGTCGATTGTTGGGGTTGCGGTGCTTGCGGCTGATCCAGTGAAGGCTGATCGTTGAGGCTCTGCAGGAGCGACATCACCTCGGCGCCTTCGGTTTTCAGCACGCGTTCGTATTCTTCTTTAAGCTCAGTGTTCATGGCAAGAGTTTCCTCTAGTCTCTGGCATTCCTGCTGGACGGCTTCCAACTCTAGCTCCTTGAGCAGTTCTATTTCTTCGAGATTGCCCTCCAAATGTTCGAGTCGAACTCCGAGATCCCGGTCGCTCTCCGGCTGATCGCTTTCTGGCCCTCGACGTGGCTGCAAACAGCTGGGATTGGTCTCGTTTTCGCCGAGCATTTGTGCTCTATTGAAGTCTTCGAGAATATCGTCAGGATTCGACGGTGGCACTGTTTGTTCGGGACGGGGAGAGGATGGTGGCAACAATTGTGCAGGTGGTGGCGATCCATGCGGTGACAGCAGCCGATCTCCGTGAGGTCCCTCTATCGCAGACGCTTCCTCAGCTTCGAGACTCTTCTCGATGTCGCTCCGCTGCTGCCAGAGTTGACGTGCGCGCATACGATCTTTCTGTCGCCGTAATTCCGTCCAACGCTCCCGGATCTCGCTTTCGAACGTTCCATCCACGCTGTCGTCTCGGCTCGAATAGCTGTCAGCTGGTGGCAGCTCACCCCAACGAGCGAAATTCACTTTAGGTCTTTTCTCACTCGACGAGCGACACAAACGTGGATGCTCAGGCGAGGTCCGGTAGCGACTTCGCGGCTCTCGGGGCTGTGATTTGTGTCGACGGATTTTCTGCCGCGGATTCGACTCCCGTCTATAATGTAAAACGTACGGGATTTCATTGCACTCGATGCTCCCCTGACGGGTGAGCTCGGTCGCGCCTTTGTCTCTCGATCGTGGCAAACGAGCGATTCGCCGTTCGGGGCTTTTACTTTGAGCTCGTCGGTGCATTGGACTTTCGTCTGAATCATGACTCCTGTCGCGAGTCTGCGAAGTGTCCAAGGGGAAGCTGGTGTTCAAGGTGGGTTCGTCGAGAGATTGGTTCAAAATGTGGTAGGATTCATGCGAGATTGTGTCGTCCTTGTCGATGTTGTCTCCTGAGATGTTCCCTCTGGAAGGGTAAAGAAATTGATTCTTTTCAGACTCAATGACCAAGAGGCTTGCCCGCACCCGTGAGAATTCTCCCCCTTTCCGCGTGTTCCCGCGGAATACATGGGAGACGTATATTAGAGGCCCAGGTTACGCCGCGTGGTATCATCAATACAGCTGTAACAGAACTCACCTGTGCTGAGGAGTATTAGGTTCGGATAGGCACACTGTGGTTTTTGTGAATTCTTCGTTGTTGTTGTTTCTGCTTGGACCCGTTGGCTGATCTCCCCGAAGTTGGGTCATCGACGAACACGAGTAACTCGAAGTCACCCCGCTCGTGGGGTAAGATACAGGGTTCGCTAGACGCAGACTGGACGACCTACGGGATGAAAGTAATTAAACTTCAGACTCACGACAGATTATAATCAAAGAGACACCGATTATTTCTCGAGCTATGGGAAGCTGGATACCGATGTGGCAGTGTGATAGGTAAATTCGATACGGGACGCTTCTCACTGAATTAACCTTTGAAACGAGCGACGTCGAGCGGATGTTTCCTTCACATACTCGATCACTTGCTTCTGAGTTCGACCACTGTACCGGAACGATGATCCCCTACTGAAAATCCTAGTTTTTCCCCGCACACGGCACGTCTTCCGGACTTCAGTGCACCGGAAGAATGCATGATGTTCGATGCATCTCTTCCAGAAGCTTTTGGACGCGTTTCTATTGTCGAACAGGAATTCCACGCAATCTTTACCGTAACAACCCTGAAAGGACGATCAGAGGTGTCATTCCTCCGCTGACTCAAAGCTTTACCGACAAAGATTCCTCTCGGAAAGAAAACCTTTCCCGAGACAATCCTATACGAGAGTTGCGAGAGATGCCACCGAACAGGAAATCGTCCCTTCGGCTTCTCCTAAACATCACAGCGGGCCATGACACGCCAGGTTGCAGACGTTCGCGGAGAAAACTTGCAGGAACCCGTGGCGGAGCGCAATTTTCCATGAGAGTGAGTCTCGGGCGGGTGACTGAACGCTTTGCCTCGTAGCTGGGACAGGGTCGTCAGCTGTGTCCAGGACGCCTCTTTAAGGAGCGATGGACGGTCGCTGAGTTCTAGATTTCTCCAAGGTCGTCCTGTCAGGACCTTTCTCTATGACACCCTGAGATCGCCCTTATAGGCTCTCGAGACTTGACTCTCAGCGGCGATTTCTGTGCAGATTCTATCAGGCTGGGGACAGACACCCGGAATCAGAGCGTGGAACCGTTCCCCATCAGCGATCCGACAACGGATTCAAGATTGAGGACCTCTTCGCTACATCTACCAGGATAAAAAGTCTCGCATAAAACGAAATTCAGAGCGGAGATTCTTTCGAAACGCATACTCACATAGCCTTCGGTCGGGTGCAGCTTGATGAGGAATTTTCGTCGTTTGAAGCTTAGCTTGCGAATTTTGTTCCAGGAGAAGGTATGAATCTTCATGCTATTCCGGTAGACCACTATACCGACATGACCGACGGCCATCGTCAGCGCTATACCTTCCGAGTCGAATGCAGGAACCAATCGGATTCCAAAGAATTCGCATCGTCTCGCGACCTCCAGCAAATTCATGTCCGCCTCGGACGGGCTCTGACCACTGGAAGAAAGATGCTTTGTAGTCATCATTGAGTTTGGAATTCCATTGCCCAAGTTTGATTCTGCTGAGGCAGCTGTATCGGGCCTGCCCAACCGCTCAGAGCCGCTGTAGTTTTCGAAGGATATTGAGTTTCTAGTTCCTTCGTGCGAAGGAGCCAAACAAGGAAATGAAAACACTTTTCCGCGGAGTTGGAGCGATGGGAAAGAGGACGAGGCTTGGAATTCCGCTGATACAATGCCAGGATTCCAAATTTGTGAAGAGTTTCGAGATCGCACCAGCGATTGCCCGATTCGGGCAGGATCTGAGTCTCTGGGGCGGCGATTGTACAGGAAAAAAGTTTCTGATAATCCGCGGATTCGCGGTATATCCCTCCCGTAAAGGAAAAAAACGGGATTTTTCGGAAGATGTGAGTGCCAAGAGGGAGAATATCTGAGCCAGAATGTGAAGAAAGTTCACCACCTTCTGTGGTGCACCTCTCATGCAATCGATCGGTCTTCCGAGGTCCCTCGCAGATCAGGTCGCGGAACAGCTTGAAGCCATGTGCTCAGTCCTGTCCGTTTGTTCCCCGCAATAACCCTCGTTAGAAACTCATGAATTCAGCAACTTGGTATAGGTCCCGTCTTATCGAGGAGCGTTCGCACTGTTGTGCGCGAAGGGGAATGCCCGCCGGCAGCAGCGCCGTCGGTAGGCGTCGAAGCCGCACACCTAGCGCCGGAGCAATGGAGAATGCGATCGATTCCGACTGCTTTGGCATCGATCACTAGAATCCCTCGAGACCAGGTGTCGCATTCTCGATGTTGACCAATATCGACACAATTACTCACATGTGATTCATATGATGTAGCATGATTTTTCTTCGAGTTGCTTGCTTTGCCGAGGGACGAACTGATGGCATGCTAAGTAGCTGGCGTCCGGATAGTCGTCATGACTGAAGTCGCCACATGAAGCTGCAATGTCGACTCGAGCTTTGTAGACGTTCGAACTCGACGAAACTTGTTACGCAATAAATCGTCAGCAGCCTCTAGAAACTTTCTGCATATTAGGCATCAGGCAAGCTGGTATGGGCAGTATCTCGTCCAGGCCCAAATGGCCGGCGGAACAATTTCGCATAGCGTCTCATTCCGAGACGATATGCTCCGTCTTTCTCTCGGATGTGGACCGACAGCCTCGGCGCCTGTGCTAATCCTGGTGTCGTATCTCCGCCTCGTCACATGTTTTTCAGCTGCATCGATCTATACAATACATCACAGCGCTCCGATAAGAGCTTTGCTCCCGAGATGGCTCAACTCTGATTAGAGCAAAACGCTGACAACGATTCTCGGCTTGCGGTATCATGATACCTATCCAATATCCAAATAATCATCCAACATGATAGGGGATTGAGGACAAACGACTACGTCCCATTACGAACGCCGCGGCGTAGGCGGCGGGCGATGAGGGCAAGATGAAACGGCGATCCCGGGAAGCTTCAATCAGCCGACTAAGCAATCCGTCACGGCAGGATAAGCCTGGGGTAATTTGGCCCCTTGTGGCTTCACCCGTTTCGTCTACTCGATGCGAGTCCTGGGGAATTGTCGACAAACAACATCCGAGATCGGATATTGTCAGGATGTCATCGAAGATCCTCGCGAATTACTTCCTCAAGACGAGATTCCGGATGGACGAGGCCAGAAGTCCTTCGTTTCAGAAGTTGAAACAACTCAGATCCGCGAGTCGAAGGCATTGTGGAGAAATCTCGGCCTCGGATGGAAGTATCGAATGACGACGATCATCCGTGTTGGTCATTGCTCTGAGCAGAAAAATAGTCCACCTCGGAATGAGCTCCAGCATGCTAGAGCAGCTGGTGGACCCGGTGTTGGCTGTTTCGCCCTCAGATGATTTATAGAATGAGCTTCGACGGCGGCTGCGGCTTGAGTGACGTCAGCGTAAGGCGTAAGTACAGTGTCGGTGGAAGATGTGCGCTCGGTCATATCGACGAGGAATAGGGAACTTGGTCGGAAACAAGGAAGATTGAGAAGAATTTCGTTTTTTGCCGTGCTAACCTTGGACTATGTACGAGGCGAGCACAGCGGCGGTGTCTTCATGGACCAGCAGCTGTCCCTGAGCAAGATCTCGCTTGATTTGCAAGCTGAATAAGTAGCGCGTGAATTCCTCTTCGAGCTGCCCGGGGTCGGGCGTGTAAAACTTGACGCAGAATTCCAGAAACGCGTCCTCGAACTTGATGCCAACCTGATTGCACATCGATTTCTCGTAATCCAGCCAGTGCTGCAAGCGCGAAATATGTTAGAGAATTACTCGCTTCTCTCGAAGGACACGATGTCGAGCGATCCTGCGGGACTGGAGGCCCGAATTCCTCGCATCATCGTAATGGTGATCCCACGCGGTTATGGGCGTTTGGAGCTCCGCAGACCGCTCGGAAAAGAGCTCGGTAAGGGGAATCCTTGTCTCGGGGTGGTCGATAAGTCGCGACGGCGCGAATCACGGGGTCGGCGTGATTTTTTTGCGTTCGCCGCCCTGATCACCGCATGAGGAGCGATACGCTCCTCAGCCGATAATGAGGCGAGGTAGGAAAAAACGAGCTCGATTTCGCAATGATTCCGCTTGGGAAAGGGCGATAATTTACTGTTCGACGGAAGGATTCTCAGCGGATTTTGCTGATCAGTGGAAGACCTTCCGATGAACGCAGAGAAGGTGGATATTCAACCGGACATGCGAGTGCTCTGTACATTGTTTTTATCGCCTCCTCATATGGATGAAATCTGATCGCCGGCACGAAACATTTAATCATGCGAATTGAGAACTCACCCGGGCTCCCTGATCGTCACAATATTCCAAGCCGAAGTAGTCGGACTCGAGAAGATTTAGCACACGGCACACCTGGTCGAAGAGTACTTGACCACTCGCTTTGTACTGAAATTAGAAGCCTAGAAATTAGCTTTCGTTTCGGCCTTAAATCCCAATCAATTGTCTTCTCTCATTGCGACCCCGCGATGAGCTAAGATTCGGATGTGACCATCTGAGAAGTCGCTTCAGCTGACCGGAGCTTCAAACGAGGCGCGAGCAGTCACCGGTCGGAACTCCCAGCGTTCATATAGAACGATCTCAGTTTGGAGCCGGTCGCTGCACAAATTCGAACGAGAAAAAAAATGCTGTCGAGCAACGAGTTGGCCCGCTGGGAGCAACATTCTGAGAAAAAGGCAGAAAATGCCGAGGGCAGAATACAACGACAATAGAGATACGAGAGAAGGCCTTGTGTCGGACTCTCGGGCCGACTGGTGTCGCGGGCTCGATGGCTGCTCGTCGAGCTCTTTGTCTGCCGCACGAACGAGCCGCAGTTCGAATCCTATTCCGGGGAAGTGTCGTCGAGCGGCGGGAGGAGGGGCGGGATACTGGATGCTCGCAAGTTTGTCCGCATCGGCTGCGAGTCGAATCGGCTTTACTCCGCACAGTTTTGCTGAATTGAGCAGTGTCGCTTCCTGGTGTTCCTGCAGAAACCTTATATCCGGTCCCCGTGTACAACGGTTGTTGTCGGCCGAGGAAAAGCTTCGAACGGGCCTTCTAGACGGCGGATCGGCTGACTGGCTCGCAAGAAAGTTGACCAGCTTGCAAGCTCGCTCACCGACATAGGAATTATTCCGCCCCGGTGACTCGCTAAGGTTGACTTATTCGTCATTCGCCCGACGGACTGATGCTCCGGGACCGAAGGAAAGACCCTAAGCTTCAGGTCGCCCGGAGTGATACGGAGCAAGATGCGCAAAGAAGGCCGGCACCGGTCCGCTTTTTTTATCGGTAGATATTAAGTTTGCTCGAAGATCCAGCCCGCTCGTTTACCCTCTCAATTCGATCTAATTATTCTCCGCTCTGTCAAGAGCTTTTTACTGACCTGACACTGCCCTCATCGGCGCCCCAAAAACTCAAGCCACTCCGGACGATTCCTGTGGCTCTAAAGAGCACGGAGGAGAGACGGAGGAGGGGAGCGACGCCACCGGACAGAGATTATGACTCCGGCAAATACGTGCTCAATGATCCCTCACTTGGGAACGACCATCGCTGCTACAACCATGGCCGTCCTTGCCACGTTTTCCCGTCCTCATTCCTATTTTCTCCAACATCAGGACCGAAGGACGGATCCACGGAGGCTTAACGACCGAGTCACCGATCCTCCGGTGCCGAGCAAAGAGTGAAACTAATGATACATTCCGATGGCTTGCGAATTGATTCCGCTATAAGAGCGATCAGCACAAGATGTTCTCCCATCGGCACCACTTGCGTTCCGTTATGGAGTGCCGAAATCCCATAGACTTGAGGAGGAACGTCCTTGATCTCGAGCGATGAGCTCGAACCGCTGACGTGGAATATGTGTTCGAGAATGTGTGTATTCGTTCGAAGTTTCGGCTGTTCCAGCCGAGCGGGGAGCGACCGATGGCCAGAGAGAGCCCGAATACAGCAATTTCCGGCTTCCCGCTCGTGAACAATAAGGGACTCCGGATCGAGGAGCCCGGGCTCTTAGCTCAGTAGAAGGTAACTCCAACCGACAGAAATCGCTAATCTCTGATCTCTCATGGCTCAGAGAAGTTCCACCGACGCCGACGTAGGAGCAGAGAAATCATCGACTAGCCAAGTTCTGCCGATGTTTCCTCGGATCTCCGATATGAAGTGCTTCGTGACGAGGGGCCTGTAAGACTGCGGGGAAGAAAATCCGTAGGAGAAACAGTGGCCGGTCTCAAAGAATTCGCTGGGGCCCGTTGGACGAGACTTCGATCGCGAGGCTGAAGAATTCGCGGTTCGAGGAAAACGCGGATCGGGGCAACGCAGGCGGGGGCGCTGGGCTTCTAGCTGAGCCTGAGAGAACGTTCTGCCCCGGACAGATGCAAAAGATCAAATTCTCCATATTTCGCTCGCGGCCTGGCTCGCAACTTCCCCGCTTAAACCCTTCCGGGAACCTCTGTGGCATGCTGTCGGATCGGTGCGGCCTCCTCGCGGCGATATGTTTCGTGCTCCGAGTGTCCACGGAAGGCTCGCGAAAAGCAGAGGCATCGAGGTATCCCTCGGGACCTCATTCAGTCCGCATGACGCTTCTCGGTGGAAGTGTCTTCTTCGAATGGGTTCCATCGACGATTAAGAAGGTGGAAGATTTATTATACGATGTCATTGAACCTTTTCGGAAATCGAAACAGCAGCTGAGAAAGAAGTAGCACTAGTCGAAGTCGTAGTGGGCGAGCTCGGCGGCAATTACGAGTAGGCCCTTCGGGACAGAACACGATTGCCAGCGCAACGAGGGATGAATTATTGAGGAGACCGGTGTCGGACGCAGATCTTCCGTTCAGGATTCGCTTGAGGATATGCCGGTGACTGATGACTTTTAGTTTCGTAAGAAGAAATGTTTCAGCCGACTCGAATACAGCCCCCGGGGAATAGACTCGCTATTCAGGGAGCTTGGGGGACGCTTTTTCCGTCTGTTCCTCGTCTTCTTGGGCGTGTCCCGTCGAGGCTCGGTCGAGAATCACAACGGACGATGCTCGACTTAGATCATATGACGCCGCGCCGCTCTCATGAGTTTCTTCACAGTTTCCTTTGAATTGATAGACTTTCGGCAATCCGGTCGTCGGCGTCCCCCATTCTCTTCCATTCTACCGAAAGATTGGAGAACTGAGGCTCGGACAGGCTTTTTCGAAACGGCGGCGTGTCGAATGGTGGAATTATAGAGTTTCTCCCCCAACTTGGAGTCCGAGCATCGCCGACGAGAGGACCCCGTCCGAACTGAACTTCCCATTCCGACCGGAGAATTTCCTTCTCGCTTGAGCGGCGATTTCGTCGAGAGATAGAATTCGGATAAAGCATGTAGTGTCTCGCATCAAACGCTCATCATGTGGCGCCCGGATATCGCAAACAAAAAAGCACAATTGGGTCCCGCGAGAATCGCGGAGACTGATAGAATCGCCCGAACAAAGAGACTTTCTTTCGGCCGCTCGCTCGCGAGGAATCCATCGAATGTCCCTCCCCGACTCCTCATAAGGGTTCCGTCGAAAAGGAACTCCCTGATCAGCAAGTCGGCTCCACCGTGCCGCCGCGGCGCGGCTCCCCGGATTCTCGCACCCGTCACTGAATCTGCACTCTGATTCGCTGGGCCCACGGTCGCCGTCGACGTCGATGCCTCTTTTGTATGAATCTCGGGAGCGTATGTAGTATATGCGAGCGAAGTTTTCCGGTTCATCAAATCCGCCCCAAGTTCGATTCCATTGCAGCATCGAGGGAAAGTGTGAGGTCGCGGCAGCGAGCGATAAGTAGCATAAAAATCGCGAGCGGAACCGAGGAAAAATGAGGAAATAGACGCTCGCAGATTCGAGTGATGAATTCTGATCGTTATGCGGAAAACCCTCACCAGTCGGTGGTTTCGTCGTTCCGGGCTGTACGGCAAAGGCCCCCGAGGCTTCTGGAGCTACGCGATCCTCACGCTCCCAAGAAACGAAACTTTTCTTTCTCTCAACACGTTGGCGTGTAGTATCTGTTTGCTCCCGTCCCGGTCTGACCGCACGTTAGCGCTCCGGTCCGAAGCCCTAATTGTCCGAATAGCCCCTCCGCTCAGTCGTTCGGGAAGCGGTGGCTAAATCTCTTCTCTAAGTCGGTAGATCCTGCTGAGATTTATTTAGGCTCTCCCCGCTCCATTTACATTGAGTTCTGCCTCACCTCAGCGAGACCGCTGGCGCCCCCGTTTGTGGCTGTCAACGACGTCCTCGGCTGGGGAGCTAAATCGGTTTATGGTTCTTCATCGCTTCGAACATTGTTAGGGAGCTCAAGTTCACCAAGAGCTGCTCCGCTTTGGTCCGGAAGCAATTTAGGAAGCTTCATCGCGAAGGTATCGTCTGCCGATGGAAGTACCTATACGGAAATCCTGTGCTTCTGGGAGGAGCGGGCCAGATCGAGGAATCGGAAATCACTGTTTGATCTCGATCGGTGCGTGAGCGTTGAGTTTCGCTTTCGCGACGGTGATCGACTTTGCTCCAGAAAAGATCACGCCTTGTCCAGCAGATTATGTCGGTGACATTAGCAGCGATCCTGACCAGAGCTCCAACGACCCAGTGTGTGGATATCGGAGCCTAGCCTCGGTTGTGCCGGTACGGAGCTCGGTGATTTATCTTCTGCCCGCTGCTTTGTCGCGTATCGGCAGCAGATTTCACATCACCGCTCATGCTCGCGAGGCAGTTGATCAAAAGAGAAGAAAAGTCAGAGCTGATGAGCAACCACGGCAATGAGCAACGCTGGGAATCCCACGACAGCCGTTGCGATGCGTTGCGTTCAGAGCCCCAGGCACCCAGGAGCCAAACGGGCGCTCAGGCATAGAACCCACGGACCGCGACTGAATCCTCTTTGCATAATTTACGTCGGATAGCTCACTCTTTCTGCTGACATTTATCGAAGCTCACTCGACTAGAAACGAGCAAGTTCCCCTTGCAACATAGAGAGTGTATCAGTGGTGACACGCGGGCTGCGGAGTCACGATTCTCTTCCTTCCCCCGAGATTCACAAGCACTCGGGAATAAGCATCGAGGTGTCCGGAGAAGGAACCGTCGGTCGACTCCGTGCGATCGAGAGATCCATTTGACTTACCTGTACATGGAATGTTTTTATCGTATCGTCCAATAAACGAACGTTGACCGTCATGATTCGAGAAGACTGTTTTTTCTTCGACGCTTCGTAACATTCCTTCTCCATGGGATCGGAACCTCCATCCAACGCTGCAAGTTATAAGGAAAAATTTGTACTTGATCCTGATTCCAACTGGATCCTGCGAGACCATAGTCGACATGGCCTCAGACGCCTCGTTCGCTGAACCGCCGAATACCTAATTGAGGCTCTCCCCGGGGAGAGAAGGGTTCGGAGCGTACAGATAGAACGAACTTGAATGAGTATCATGTCGGATGACCACAGACACCCTCAAAAAGAACACTTTTCTATCGAATCAGCGAAAGCCCGGATATCTGACTCTGAGTCCAAACCGGGTGTAGTGGATTCTGCTGTGAGAGTAAAACTCCAGAGCTGCTGGCTCCTGCGGAAATTGGGGAGCTGTCTACGACGACATCGGATTGTGAGTTTTATGAATACGTTGAACCAACTAGGAAGCTTGAGCTGGAGGCATCCACACGTCAAATAGTCTATGATCGTCTACATAGACATGATACGTGATCCGACTCTCATTTGTGCCACCGCACTGCGCTGCGAGAGGGGCACGGAAAGTACGTGGGAGCTGGAAAATGACTTATCCCGCCCATGGAGCGGGGTTGGCTGTCGCGGGTTCGATCCGCGAACTTCCTGTTCAGCTCGACACGAGCTCAATTTCCAGGAAAAGAAGAACACGGACCCAGATATCTTGACAACGTTGTTTTTCCCCGCGGCCCATGCCATCAAGGTGTCTGAATGACGACTTGCCCGAGGCGGATAGAGCGTATTTCCGAAGTCGTCGATCACCGTGTCGAACGTTTAGTTTGCGTCGCTACATCTCGGATATCCTACTCGTCGAGTGTGACACTTTCCCGTCCCTCGGGCTGATAATTTGGGAAGCGATCGGAGTCTTCACGCTATCGCGACCCGATCTCGTCAATCAAATGTCCCGACAGCCTGTTGTTCGTCGAAGATGGTATCGTTCGTAGCTCACAGAGTACGGACGGACGAGATCCTGCAAGAGTGGGGCCCTCGATTGCTTCTATCAACGGCACGACAGGGAGCAGATTGAATCGGGGCTGGAAGGGACTCTGAGAGGAATTCCCAAGGCTTTTCGAGCGTTGATCCGAACGGAGCCGAGGGAAAGAATGCTTCTCCGCGGTGCGATGCGTGTGGCTGATAGATTGCTCAGAGGCTTCGCTCGGATCGGGAGCCTTGTCTGTATACACCGAGTAAGCAATCGTCCCCGTTGCCGGGAAATCGTTTGACAGCTGGGATTGACTTAAGGGAGCGATTTGGGAACGCAATCTCCTTTCCAGACCGATGCACACAGCCGCGAGCAGTCCGAGAGGCATCCTCAGGAGATTATCAACTTAATTTGTTGATCTCTTCCGCAAACTTCACCTTTGGCGGAGCGCGCTCGCCCCCGCGCGCGATCTAGTCTTTCCTTCGAAAAACTCCTCTCATGCGTCGAATTCATCCTGAGATTTCGCACCCGTCTCAGACGGCATCTGCGGCGACAACGGGGCATGGATGGGACCCAGATCTATCCGAGGGGTGGGCGGGGCTGGTAGCGGCGACGCCGAGAATTCTATCTCGACGTTATGGCCTCTCGAAATCCTATGACACGAAGCGTGACCCTCCTGAATCGAAAGGATCTCGGGAATATTGTTCCGGTCGCTTGAGAATACATAAGCGAAATATTTCCGAATGCATAGGGAAACTCGATATTTTGACAGCTGTTAGATCAGGGGACCGAGATCGATTCGTCATGTGCTCCCTGTGGATACGCTGGTCGGACTGGCCATACGCCTCAGCAGAAACCGCGCTCTCGCGGCACCGTCATCTGCCTGACCCTGTCTCCCATTGTTGTAGCGATAAGCTTCTCTTTTTGGCGACACTGCAAGTCAAAGAAGCCACAGATAGCGAGCGACGCGATGTCCCGGGCTAGATACCTTCGTTGTGACGCAGTGAAAGTCGGTGCCCTGCGAGCAGAGGTCGCTCATAGTGGAGACAATACGCCCCTCTCTCCGTACTGGCACAGGTACAGAGGGCATATGGTACGAGGCTCGAGGATTGTGTCGAGATTCGAGATTGAAAGTGATTCTCTGAACAAATTGACGGCCGGGAACCCACAATCGAATGGGGAGAGTTTCTCTTGATGATGGGTGCAGGAGACGTGAACAACGGTGTATCATGAGAGGAGACTCTTGAGGATGTGAGACCAGAGTTTGTCTTCCCACAATGAAACGCACGCGATCCGACCCAGGCGGTCCTGAGACACAATTCCATCGGAGAGCAAAATTAGCCTTGAGTTGAGCACGACTTTAAGCTCTGAGGTCAGACATCCAGTGGCTATGTATCCCCCACGAGTGAGAGTGACTGCGCTCTCGTTAGCAGACCGGCCGGAGGAGTCCGACAAGCCCGGGTCTGTCCGTATGGGGCAACCCCGAGCAAAGGAGAATAGCGAATGAAAAATTCGTCCACAATCACGAGTAACCGTTATGGTATTCCTTCGCAGAAGGAAACTGGATTCCTGAACTCCCGGAGTGGCGACACAGACGGACGGGTCAGAAGAAGGAAACGCGGTAGCAATCCGAGGAAAATTTCTGCCGTGACGTCGGTGGGTCGGCGGAGAATAACGGCAAATGCGACACATCGAGTATTCCTGCACTCTCCCAGCATGAGACCGATTCGGGAGGCCGGAGTCGATCAGGAAAGGGACGTGCCTTCGCCTGTTAGAGATGGCATTGTCTACAAATGGCATCAGTGACCATTATCCTAGCGATGACCTTCCAGTTGATCATCGCCACCGTGGCGCCGAGACGCTCCAGGCAAGCGAGAACATCGGCGACAACCAGAGAAACAACGATCATGAAGAAACTCCCCCACTCAGTACATAATCTTCATTGAGATAACGGAGGCTGAACGGGAAAGAATGTCCACTCAGAATGAACATGAGAAGCAACAGGAAACCACTAGGAGGCTTTCTCCCGAAAACACAACGTCCCCCATCCCCTCGGTTCTAAGCGTGCAGATTCCTGTTCGGAACAATACAGAGGGGAATGCATCGACCCGTAATGGTGGTCCCGGGGACTCCATCTGCCGACTTTCGGATGGACGAAGGAGAGTGTACTTTCATTACGTTCTCCGTTTCGCGTCGAGGAAGTCTTCGATCCGCTTCCCCTGCGACGAATGTTCGGCCGGTCCTTTGCCCAGCGCATGGGCTCTCCGTTCCCCCCGATGCTTCGAACCTCACCCGTATCCGTTAGGTAGGTAGGTGGCCACTCGGACACGAATTCCTCGAGGAATTCCCCGCAATAGCTACAATAATTGATTCGGTAGAACCGCTGCTCGGCCTCTCGCGAGAGTCAGACCCTCAGATGGGAGTGACTCGATGTTCACGACTGTTCGGAAATCGTAGCTGACGGCTGAGGTCGATCGTTAGCTGCTTAAGCGTTCCTACAGATACCGTTGGGAGCAGCGCCGGATTCCCGTGGGGTCTGAGGAGGCTTTGAGCAGCTATCCCAAATATCTGCCTCTCTGGAGTCCATTTTCCGACCCCTGGTCAGCATACGCGGCATTTTCGGATTAACTTCACGGCGGCTGAATCCCAGACCGGCGCCGCGCTGCTTTGCGGGAGGCACTTTTCCCCTTGCTCAATATCGAGGGAATGCAAGCTCCGTCGAATCAGGTACCCTCGGAATTCGCTAGTGGGGATCTTAATGCAATTTGACAACCCTCAAGGGGAATCGATTCAGTTTGTCCACGGAGGGGGCGACTCTCTAGCTCACAAGGGCGATGTCGCTTAAGCTCTCGATTGAGTCTTGTGATGGGATCCCTCACGTCGAGTGATGAATTCTCCGTCAAGGAGGGACGGGTGCTTCGGCGAAACATTTGAATCGATCGGGCACAGCATGGCGGTCCCGATCGGCTTGCGCTAATGCTTGAAATTCACGCTCCAGCAAATAGACGGACGGGCGAGTCCCCAAGAGGATACACATACATTTATACGCTTGTCCGGTGGCTTTCCCGATAATGGAGTGGGTAGATGGAGACGGTCGATTCGAACATCGAACCGTACGCATCCTATGGATCGCTCTCTCGGAGGAAACACAGAATACAGGAAAAGCTCATCCCGTTCAGAAATTGGGGACCTCCACTTAGAACGGAATGTGGAGCGCTTCCAGTGAGAATGGAGATCCCCTGATAAAAACGAGCTCGGCCCTGATCCGGTGCACGGATCCAATTCCTCGTCCATAATATGTTCTCATAGGTGTGAAACTTCGGTTTACTATTCGGGCTCACAGCGGGAGCGGACCGCAGCGAGAAGGAATATATTTGTTGCCGTTTCTCAGGCTGTGGTACATTTACGAGATATGAGAAAAGCTGCGACGAGCTGCGTGGACCACCTACGTGTTAGAGGGAGGATTCCGGTCGAGAAACAACGTTGTGTGCTGTCCCGGTTTGGAGGCTGGTTTTCTTCGTTCATGGTGTCGCTCGCTCGGGTGTCATCAGACGCAAGATGAATCTGCCGGAGCCAAAGCCGGAGTGTCAGAGTGGCTCCATGGCTGCCTCGTCGCTAGACTCCCCGCCTCCCGCGTCGACTGATGTCGCTGTCGCCATTTCAGCCGTAGTCGTCCATTGAGTTCGCTTCGAAAATTTGAAATCGATACACCTGCGAAGAAAAGGCGACCAACAACGTTAGTCAGAGGTCTCCGACGACGACGCACACACCGGACACCGGTAAGCGCCAGCCAACGTCGGTCGGAACAGTGTGCCGTCAGTATGTCAAGCAGCCAACAGCTAGTTTCGTTCCCTCGGCGTATACTTTATGGCTTTGCTTTTTATCTAGGGCAGGCAACGTCAGCGTGAGCGCTCGTTCGGTGGCGCTCGCTTCTCTGGTTCGTTCCGTCCTGTCCCGGCTGCTGTCGTCCAAGGGTCGTTCGGTTCCCCCTCCGGTGGGGTTGCGAATTTTCTACTCTGCGACCGGAGGAAAGCAT